AACTAATTGTAATTCCTGGTCATTTTGTACAATTTAGAGCTGATGATATCTATGCACTTCACAAATGTATGGATTAATCTTTGAGCGATTCATGCTATATCTTTGGAGCTTTAGGTAGCACTTACGTTTTACGCCGCTAACTACTATATATCTGGCTTATTACAAACAGCCAAAGTGCCTATATGCCGCGAACAATGTTAAAGAATAATAGTATATAATATGTACTCCTGACCACGGCCGAGGCTGGGCGTGTGGCTTCTGTTCTCGCCCTGAACAACCCCGAGGACCTGCCCCTCAAAATGAAAACAATATGGACAGCATATGCATGAAACAGGAGGGCAGTCGGTTTTATGTACAATGTGGTCTGGAGAGGTTCCCACAACAGATGATGTCACAATGCCGGTGATAAAACAACGGCACATGGGCAAACAAAGCGCTATCCCTCATAGCTTAGCCTTGGGGGCAGACTCTTCAGCCAATGCCTCGGCATAGAGATCGTCCAAGACCTGACGATACTTCTTTGTGGTGGGCGGACGCTTCAGCTTTAGCCTAATTGATAGGATCGCGGATTAGTATATATAACCATAAGTGGAACGTGGAGATGTGATTACTTACGTCGGCGTAAGCAGGTTGTTCTCGATGGTGAACGGGTCAATCATCAGTGCGCAGTTCTTGATTCTCTCATATCCTGCAAGCTTGTGCTTCTTGGCAATCCGACTGAGGTCTCTCAACACAGCTTTACGGATCTTGGTGTCGTTAAGAACCGATTTGATCCCCTCGATGTCTGTAGCCTCAATGGTGCGGCCAAGCACCTTGCTGGCAAACACAGCGAAGGTATCGGGCTGGACTCCAAAGATAGCCACCAGGAACGTCTGGACACTATCACCATGGACATAGCCCTGGGCCAAGTAGCCCATTTCCGACATATAGACACCCTCGAGCCGTTCCGGAGAGATATACTCTCCCTGTGCCAGCTTCAGAACATTCTTCCGGCGGTCAATGATGACGATACGGCCCATCTCGTCAATCTTGCAGACATCGCCGGTCCGGAACCATCCATCCTCGGTCACTGCTTTGGCTGTTTCCTCAGGGTCCTTGAAATATTCGCGGAAAACGTTCGCACCTCGCAACATGAGTTCTCCCCGAGGGTACGGCTTGTCGTCAACGGAATACTCCATATCCGGTAAAGACACCAAGCAAGCCTCGGTAGAAGGAATCAGCCCACCACAGTGGCCAGCTGTCAGGTCCGCGAGGGACTGTACACATGCCATGGCATAAGTCTCAGTCAAACCATAGCCCTGAACAACGTCGACGCCAAGAGCAACCCGGAGGAATTGGTGGAGTGAAGGGTCCAGAGGCGCCGATCCGGAAGCCAGCATTCTAGAGCGGTCCAACCCGATGGCAGCTGCGACCTTCTTCGCCCAGATCCGATCATACAAGGCATGTTTCGCTGTGGCTTTGCTAAGGTCAGGGTTCTTTAAGTTCGCGGTCTTTGTGGCGACGATGTGCCTCGACAGTGCACCTCTAAAGCCAGGAGCCTCAAGAGTCGAGGCGCGGATGGCATTTCCGAATCGAGTGTAGAGGCGCGGAACAGATATGAATCCGGTTGGCTTGAGCAGCTTGAGATCGTCAACAAGCTCTAAGATGTTGCCGTGGAAGTACCCAATCCGGGCTCCTGCCCAAAAGGCCGCATGCTCAGACATCCGAGCATAGATGTGAGCCAACGGCAGATACGATATAATGGTGTCGCCTGCTTTTTGTATGCTGTTGATGAGCGCACCTGAAGCGGATGCGACGGCATTCTCATGTGCGAGGACTACACCCTTCGGAGGGCCGGTAGTACCAGACGTATAGTTGATGGTAATGGTGTCAGAGGGGGCTGGAGGTTTGCAGGGACGGTCAACCGAAGCACCCAACTCTTCAACCTGGCCTATGGTGTAGATGGAGACATCTTGCCCGGCAGCCATTGACTCAAGCAAAGCACGCTTCGAGTGACCAGCCTCTTCACCGCCGTCCAGGGGGTCCAAGCTGACAATGATCTTGAGGTTAGGCAATTGGGGCTTCAGCCTGAGCAGGGTCGGAATGTGCGGCAGCGAGGTCACAACGCAGGCCAACTCCGCGTGGTTGATGATATATTCTGTCGCATCCGGGGCAAGGACATCGTAGATGGAGACCGAATACAGGCTTTGCGACATGCACGCCAAGTCTAAACCGACCAAAATTAGTGTTGCGCACGCTAGAAGTAACAAGATCGCATACCAGTTATCTGCCACTCAGGGCGGTTCTGACACCATAGACCAATACCATACTGGCCAGGACGGCTGCACTCGTGCTTGTGATGTAGTTCCACTAGACCTGCGCCGAACGCAGCCCGTCGCTTTTGTACCGTCTGATAATCCAACCATTGATATGGACCGTAGGTCTTGGTCGTGGGATTGTACGGACGCCAACCTAGGCAGTGGTTCTTCGGTAATCTGTTTGCAGTGGACTCGAAGATATCGTGTGCAGTAAGGATCTAGAAATGATTTGTGAAAAAAAGTCAGACCCATATCCAGCAGGGAAAGGCATATTGTGGTACGATTGCTGATCGCCGGAAGTCATGGGAAGGCAAGCATACTTGAGGATCCAACGACTTCAGGACGCCCTCAGTCGCATTCCATGCCCGATAAACCTTACTCCGACCCGGCTTCTCCGTTCCAGGCAAGGCAACCGAGTAGGGAGTGCCCTTGGGAGGGCTTTGTCGCAACTCATCGGCGCGAGTAACATGGAGAGGTTGTTGAGAGAATAGCATAGCGACAGGTGTAATTTACAGCTGATGAAGACGAGAATGTTAGTATTACAAACACAAAGGCCAAGTGTGATTGAGACAGATAACAAAGATCAACTTACAAATCTATTAGTAAAAGAGAACAATGACAGCGAACCCAACTCCCAGGAAGAGTTGTCTAGAAACGACGGCTGGAGGTGGCGAGAGTAGTTTGATAGGGTCAAGATAAGTACGGAAGAGGGAAACAAGAGACCGGAGGCGACGGCGAGGGTGAGGGGCGACGGTGGAAGAGGAGATCAATCCCAAAAATTTGAAAGGAGAGACTATAAAGGAACTGCCGGACAAGGACAGCAACGAGACAAGAGAGAAGAATGAGCACTTGGAGTACTACTAGTACTTAGTAGTTGCTGGTGGTAGTAACAGGGCAACTTGCCTACCTGAGGCATGAAGTGCCAAGTTGGGAAACGGAGGGATCCACTGAGCCTGTTGAACCTTCCTTCCCTTACTTTTTTGTTGGTTTCTCCGAGACGGAATGCGCGCAAATGGCGACCGCTGACTGGCCAGCGCTCGTGTTCCCGCCACGCGACGTCCCAAACCCTCCCCCAAATCCGCAGAACCTCGGCACTTGCCCTGTTGGGGAAGCCTCCCCGTTTCATTTCCAGTACCAGGCATAAGTATCTATCTTCAATTTGATGGAACATATGCTTCTTTGGGTTAATCCTCCACGTTTGCATTTCGCTCGAAATTGGTGTCTCTTCCCGCCCGTTAACTCCATACCTCGGTTCTGCGATAGACAACCAAATCATAAGTACTAGTCAATAACTATCTAGTAGCCGACCTTGCTGGCAGGCGATCCTTTCCCCCAGTAGCACGCATTCGATGCTGTATAATATCTCCGGACCCCGAAAAAGAAAAATGCGGGCAGACACCCCCCAAGTACTGTACGCCGCGGAGTTCTATCTAACCCAAAAAAAAAGAGGAAAAGAAAAAAGTAGTACAAGCAAAGTACACTCACATCGTCGAACCTATAAATAAAAAGAAAATAAATAATCAAGTAATAAAACTAATAATAATTTGTACAGCACTGCATAAGCCCCCCTAAGAAGTAAGAACCGACTAATCGAACTCCTATTAATTACTTACTCAACTACTAGTCTCCCCACGCCCCATGAATCAACCCGCAGATGCCGGCGCCCCTCAATTGACGTCTGCCTGCATTTAATACATAAATTCGTTACATGCCAGTCGATATATCCACATCCACAAGCTAGGAAATCTAAACTGTGGACTAATGTTGTACAGATGATCGGGCCCGAGTCTTGTGAACAACCAGCCGGCACATTGACCTTCTCACATGCTTGCTTTTTGGCTTAACCGATGCCTCCGACAACGCAAGTTAAGAAGATCCTCTGATCCGGCCTTGGCTCATGTTCGCCTCCTAGTCCATCACGTGTAGGTGTAGGTTCCATGTGAAGACTCGGGGCTACAGTGCCGACTGGTCTCTATTTTCTTTGAAACAATCCCGTAAACTTTCGTGACGTATATACACTCTTGTAGCTTGACAGCTCTTGCTGATCAACAATACTAGATTGAACCCTACAATAGTCCTACTTTTTGGCACTGCGCAGTATCTAGCCCTGACCGAATCACCGCCACTAACCATTTACTCACTAGTATAAATTATCTGCTCAACGGCGGCTAGTACTACGACTACAGAATAGCCGCATGTATATGGAGAATAAAGCTACGAACCATTCAACATGTAGTCGTAGTTACACTGCAGAACAAGAGTACGTCGATTATTTGCAAACTTTCAATTCCAGGAAAGTTAGACCACAGTCAGTTCGAACGAGACGTTCGACAGTAGAAACCATTTACCAAACTCCATGCCAATGCTGACATCCCAACATGTATACTGTACAGGAGGGGCTCAACCCATGAACCCAAAAGATATAGACAAAAGCCCCTCATTAAAGAGGAAGACACCCATTCGGCCCTCATTTATCATCAACTCATGCAGGTCCGTCTCGCTTTCTCGCTCTCTTTCTCTCTTTTCTGTTATATACCGACAAGCAACAGCTGTCTCAGCAGATGCGTATATGCGTGACACCCAATTTCTAAGCGCCATATGTATTAACCGAGCGGTTCAGATGTAGAAGTAATAGGAAGGAATCTCTCTCTTTCTGTCAACCGATGAGAGGTATGGCGTGAATATGGGAGGATCAAAAACAAGACAATTAAAAAAAAAGAAGAAGCACAAGTGTTGTTGACCACGGGCCTGTACTGAGATGCCCAGAGGGTCGTGATCCTCTCAGCCCAGGAATGAGCGTGCAAGCTTCTGGTGCCACTTGGTGGCGGGAGCTTCCGTTTCCCACGTTTCGTTTTCAACCTCCTGGCGGCCCGTATCAATATCGGCCTCAAGTGGATGGACAAAAGATGTCCGGAAGTAGATCTTGTGTCCAACATAGAGCACGACGAAGAGAATCAGACTGATGTAATCGATGAAGAAATCCGTGACGCTAAAGCTGGTAATAAAGGAGGTGAAACCTTGCGTGATGATGATGAGAACGTTGAAAAACAGCCCGTACCAGGAATAGTAGGGCTGCCAGATAGCTTTGTACGGAAGGGTGTCGCGGGAGATGTCGCGAGCCTTCAAGGCGCGCATGAAAGCAAGATGGCAGCCGTTCAACGATGCCCAAGTGATGAAGCCTGCGACACCGGCGATATTGACGAGCCAGTTGAACACAGTGCTACCAGCATTGGAGACGTTCATGAAACCGAGAAGACCGAAGGCTGCTGTGAAGGCAACGCTATAGTATGGCACACCCTTCTTGGAAGTCTTCTTGAACCAGCGCGGGGCAAAACCTTCTTGAGCCAAACCAATCAAGATACGACTGCCACTGTAAACGTTCGAATTGGCGGCAGAGAGCACCACAGTAAGCAGGACTCCGTTAATAATGTGAGGCAGAACCTTGACTCCAGCAAGCCTGGCCGCAATGACAAAAGGCGACGAGTTGGCATCATTTCCATCGGTCAGGAGGTTCTCGTTGGTGTAGGGCACCAGAAGACCGATGAAGAAGATGGTCAGGACGAAGAAGAACAGAATGCGATAGAAGGTCTTGCGAATAGCCGCAGGCACCGTTTTGCGAGGGTTTTCTGTCTCAGCGGCTGCGATACCGACCAGTTCTGTTCCCTGATACGAGAAGCCAGACTGGATAAGGACAGACCAAAAACCGACGAACTTTGCCGTCGAGTCAGGGTGGACACCTGAATAAGGAGCAAAGGGACCCGGGTGAACCCAATAGTGAAATCCGAGATACCCTTCGTCACCGACGCCGGCGTCAATGCAGATGGCGAAGATCATGAACCCAACAACGGTGATAACTTTGACGCTTGAAAGCCAAAACTCCAATTCACCGTAAAAGCTGACAGGCAGGAAGTTCAATAGGGTGATCAGAACCCAAAAGATGGCGATAAAGATAGCGATGTTGATGGAGTCGTCCCAAAATTGAATGATCAGACCGGTGGCTGTTAACTCGAGTGCAAATGTACTAGCCCAGGAAAACCAATAGATCCACCCCATAGCGAAGCCAAGACTGGGGTCCACCAGACGAGCAGCGTAGGCCGTGAACGCTCCAGGAATCGGAATATAGGTCGCAATTTCACCCAGAGAGGTCATAACAGAGTAGACGATCGTACCGACGAAGATGTAGGCGATGAGGGCACCAACAGGACCTCCATTGGCAACAGCAGTACCACTACCAATGAACAGACCGGTGCCGATGGTACCACCTAGGAATTGAGAATGAGCAGGTTGTCACTTCCGGAATGGCCGCCTGTCTTGTGGCAGAAGCAGAAAGGGAAATGACCCCCAAGACAGCCAACAGGACTCACCAATGGCAATCATCTGAAGATGGCGACTTCTCAGCTTCCGCTTGAGATCGGGCATGGGATTCGACTCGCGACTGGCGCCATGTTTCTCACAGTCGATGTCGTTCAAGTCGGACGAAGGGTTCATGGGCTGAACCTGGACAGTCTCTTCAGGCGCCATCTTGCCCTTTTCCCCCTCGGCAGACGTGGATTTGACCTTGTTCCCGAAGGCCATGTTAGACCCTAACGGCCCCAAAATTTGAGGATGCTGATATCCTCAAGGTTAGAGCGTCAGACGTACAGTGTGTATGAGAGTGACGGAAAAGAAGTCACAAAAGTCAAAATCGCGAAAAGAAGGAAAAAGGAAGCTCGCCGCCAGGACCGTCTCCACCGGGAACACGGTTCGATTGAGTCACCAAAACTCGGAACCGTCCAGTCGTCGAGCTCCTCCTTATAAGCGGGTTCTGCGTGTCGCCTCTTCCGAAATCCACTAGAGATGAATCGCATCCACCTGCGATTTTAAGGTACGACCAACACGGCTGGGGATGCATATGCACGTCGAGAGATTATGTATGGTGCCTTGTCAACTGGCCATCTTTGCCCGCTGATAAGAGAGGCAACGAATGATGATGATAGTGAATCTAATCGAATTATGTTCCAAGACTGAAAATCTTTAGGTAAAAGGAACAGTCAAGATGAGGGGGTGGGAATGGGGGTTGAGCACCGCCGGATGCAACCTCGCGCAGACATTCTCCTTTGGGTCGAAGTCTGCTTTTCCCCCAGACAAGACCACGAGTTTATTGAGTTTATTGAAATCATGCACGTTGGTCATGGCCATGCTCTCCCCGTAATCTCTTATCGGGTTGTCTTGTGCTTTCCTTCTTCAATTGGGTTGACTTGTCTCCTACACAATAATGGGGTAGTTACATACCTCTAGCAAGAGGCTGCTGCTGCTATGGATTGTGCGTGCCACTCGTACGCACTAAAACCTCCTCAACGTGGATTCCTTCTCCATCGACAGCGGGCAAATCTGGAAACTTGGAAAAGGTTCAGCGAATGGGTGCGTGTTGCAGCTGGCCCAGCAGCGACGCCGGTGCTGGATGGTGGGTCGCGAGATAGGCCTTCCTTGGGCGGAGACAGAGTTTTTCTCTCGTAAGTCGGAAACTTTTAACACGCCTGCTCCTCTCACGACGTCGCGTGGTGGCAAGAAAAAATCATACTAACGATATCTCGGCAGGATAGTGATCGTAAAAGGCAATTGAGAGGTGGTTGGTCGTTACTGCCGCCTCCTTGAACCTACCTTGGATTCCAACATGGATATACAAGAAAAAAAATATCTACCCGGCCTGATGCGCTCTCCAGCTTAAACGGTTGTCAACTCCACTAACCAATGGACTATCATTATCCACCACTCACCTTCTTTTTCTTTTCCAACTTCTCCTCATTTACTAGAGCCCGGGGACACGTCTGCTAAAATAGGGTCAAAGCCAATCGGCGAGATCCGAGTAGTCGGCCAGCCCTACTCCGTTGCAGAATTTTACCTTTTTCTATTTTCCTTCTCACTTACAGAGTAAATTTCTTTCTGGCACGTTGAGCGGACGGATATTCGCGGTGCAGCGAGTCGAACCACGGACCCGTCCCAGTCTCCCTCGGATCCCGAATAGTTCATTGGCACATTTGCCGGAGACTAGATAATTTTGTCGAGCTTCGAAACATTCTATGGAGCTGCTCGTTCAAGACGGCTTTCCCTCATCTGTTCTTTGGTCTTTCAATTTTCGTATTTATCTTGTGTACCAGCATCGTGTACAGATGATCACGTAGGTAAAATCTTCATCTGCATTCATCTTTATTACCATCCGTTCTTACTCATGATTTCATTGATCAATTGCATGATCCAACAACTGAATCGTCGGTGCGAATGCCAATCCCTGTCATCCGCTGATAGTGTCTCAATGATTCAATGACAGTACAAAGTGACACGCTGTAGTTCACTAAAAAGCTTATCACTTTTTCGACGTGCTGTGGGTTTTTCTTCAGTGGATCAAATGTAAGCAAAGCTGATTTGCTAATAGATGGAGAACCCTCAACCCATTCATCCAGTAAGCTATCACGGCGGCATATCTGGTTTTTATGCCTGTCGCGCGGCCTCTTTTCCGCGGTACTTTACTTTGCCTTTAACAGTCATGGCCGTCCCCTACTCAGATTGTACATCAGATCACATCAATCCCCAAACGCATTCCACTATTGGCCTTTCGGAGGTTAAAGAGACCGAAGAATACTATAATCCATTGAAACACATTTCACATTCCAAGGTGTCCTAGGACTAAGTGGTATCATATGGCGACCAAAATCTCCTAGTAACTAGTAACACATGGGTATCCTGCCGAAACCAGAACAAAGCAGTCAACGATCGATAACATAAAGCGCGACTGTAGTCAGCTGCTTAAACCATATCCTTCTATCCTTCCGAAGTATCCCAAATTATCATTGTCATTACCGTCGCCAACCTCGCTGTCCCTGAATCACTGACGACGTAGTAGTCGTTCATAACAATGACGTCATTATCATACTACCGGCGAATTAAGGGCTTCCTCCGCTGCTAGCCGAATAGTCGCTCTACTTATCATTTCGTAAATGTATCATGGAACCGTCACTATCGACTCCATTTAGACGCCAACGTGGGTATGATCGTTATGAGTGGGCTTCGTACTGGAGCTGGACCGGGTACGCGAAATGCCGAGGACAGCGAAAACGGAAGTAACCAGAAATAGTACCCTACGCGATCCATGTTAGCAACAATGCACATCAACTACATCCTTCAGATCCCGCTCTACACCACTGAACATTTCTGCTAGAGCGCTGAAGCTGGCGACGTATCTGGATCAAAGGGAAGTCATACCACTCGAATGCACCGAAGACCACTGCGGCCTGTAACGCACTGCAACGGCTCCAGTGACAGGCTTCTGTTGGTGGGAGGAATACGGCTAGGGCGATGAATCCTGCAAACCAGAATATCATGGTAATCACTTCGACAGCTGGGATGACGATGCGATGCGCAAACTGGGGGAAGAACACTGGCGCCAAGGCAAGATAGGGAGTTGCGATGAAGGCTGTCCAGCACGCCACGAAAAGCATGAAATTGGGCGAGTCGCTACTATACGCGAACCAACTGATGTCTGCCATATGTCAGCTATTTACAATTCTTCTTTGAAGTGTGATGGAATGATTCAACGAACAGTATGCGGTTAAAGCAAGGACGATTATTCCGAAGAGGGCCTGGATTACCCGAACAGGGTAGATCCAGGGAAAATTCACAGCCATGATTGATATTGGGAGCTCGCGTTGATGATGGTGCTGATATATGTCCTATCTATTACACTCAGTCTGCGCGGCGATGCAGCTTTTTCTGAGGAGATCGTGGGTTAGCTGATGCTTAAGAAAATCGAATGGTGTGGAGGGCAGGAATGATCCTCATATACGTTGGACGAAGAGAATTGTTATGAGCGCATAGCGCCTGAACTATGGCAAGTCACATGCTGTTGCACAGGCGGACGCTGTTTCAAGTTCTCCAGCCAGTGTGCGCTTAAGGCTGTGACGTGGGTGTGAGTGGGCTGACGAACAGGCAGTGACTGACCTTTCTAGGTACCTTGCTTGACTGGTGCTATTTTTGTCTCTTCTTAAGCGTTTGAAAGAACCAGCGATAATGCACACACACACACACACACACACACACACACACATGCAGGCCGAAGACTTATGTTTTTCAATCTTGATTAGGCGACTTTGTGGCGCATTAACAAGAGTCCAACGAATCTCTCAGACCGCCAGTTGGGCTGGGGAGATTCGGAGCTGCCTGCCCATCCAAGCAAAGGTAGTGTACTTGAGTACACAGCAGAATTACCTGGAAATAAAATACCGTCATTATTCGGAGGGCTATCTCGTATTAAACCTTTTTGATTCGCGGCGCCTGCAGCATCAGTCGCAGATCCCGACGCTATAATGAAGCTAAAATATGAGGAAATTCAGAGAGCTTGTGACTCTGCCTGCAATGCTGGGATGAACGGGACGGGCTGCCTCTCTGGCCACGAGTGCCTCGGTCCCACCCCTTTCTAGGATTGGTGACTAGGGAAAAGGCCAAGCAGGCGATGATCTCATAAGATCCTTTTTTTGAAATGGCAAGAAATGGTAAGAGGGAAAATAATAAACTAACATAAAAGTCGGTTTGTACTATGTCATACAGGGCTGAGATGTCTGCCTAGTGAGTTGGTGGCACTAACTAGACACTGCCAAGGGATGCCACCTGGACCCTGAGGGCAAACACATGACGCCCATTGCACAATCCTACTTATAGGCAGCAACTACGTACCATAAAAATAGTAGTACTATACAAGGTACAATTTCCCCTCCCCAGGAACCGAGATCTGTAGGCAGTAGATAGCCATGCCCACAGGGCAGATTGACGGAGCCTGCATGCAGTTGTTGTTGGAAAGGGTTTGGGGCGGAGAAATCAGGCACGTCCGGTTCAATATGTGGGGCCTTTCGCTTTTATTAGCGTCCGGATGAGCCAAGTGAGTGTATATACTCTCAATACTATAGGAGATCCCACTACAAAGTCGTATTCCATGTTAATCAAGATACTATATCGACTGCATGTTAGTATTTGCATAGACTTTCAGGAGCAGAACTTAGGACCACCCAGACTAGTACTAGTACCATGGCGCATCTGATCAGGACCGTGTACTACTAGTAGTTACCAAATGGCTGGGATTCGTCGCCTCCCCCGCCTTTTCCCTTCTCCTCCTTTGTTCTTGCTCCATCGAATCACGCCATCGTCGTCGCCAATTGCTTAGTCGTCGGTAGATCTACCACAATGCGAGCATGTGTCGTTTCCATGTCACTACCTGTTCCCATTATACTTCTCCCACCTCAGCCAAATTGTCCCCTCATTGTCCTCCTTGTTTAATCCTTGCTTTTACTTGGGAAGTATACAAGCTGAAGGATAGCGTCCCAATTGAATAGCAGCAACATGTCCGAATCTAAGCAGCCCCATTTCGAAACTTTACAGCTCCATGCGGGGTATGTGCATACCGACCCCTCCATCGACCTGTCACACCAGATCCTCGCGCTGACATTGCTCTCTCAAGTCATGAACCAGATTCTGAGACCCATTCGCGAGCAGTACCAATTTATGCAACCACGGTAAGCCAATATCTTCAAGTTCTGGTATCATGTGCAGTCGATTCTGATCAGGTCTCTGTTAGTCCTACACCTTCAATGACTCCGCACATGGCGCCAGACTCTTTGGTCTCAAAGAGTTTGGCAACATCTATAGTCGGATTATGAACGTGAGCCTAGACTTTACTCCCCTCATTATAAGCATGGCATCAATAGCTGGTTCTAGTATCAACTAACCTAGAAGAAATAAACAGCCCACTGTGGATGTCTTTGAGAAACGTATCGCTGCCCTTGAAGGTGGTGTCGCAGCCGTCGCCGCCTCTTCGGGTCAATCTGCGCAGTTCATGGCCATATCTGCCCTTGCCCATGCTGGCGATAACATCGTGTCCACCAGTAACCTGTACGGTGGCACTTATAACCAATTCAAAGTCCTATTCCCTCGATTGGGAATCACAACCAAATTCGTCCAGGGAGACAGCCCGGAGGCCATAGCTGCAGCCATTGACGACCGTACGAAGGCTGTTTATGTTGAAACTATCGGAAACCCCCGCTATAATGTACCCGATTTCGAAGCCATCGCCAAGGTAGCCCACGAAAAGGGCGTGCCTCTAGTGGTAAGTGGTATATTTTAGGGCCCTCGTATGAATTCGTCAAGAGGATTTGCAACTTATATTAGGGTGCTATATAGGTCGACAATACATTCGGCGCCGGCGGCTATTATTGCCGTCCCATTGAGCACGGCGCCGACATTATTGTACACAGCGCCACCAAGTGGATTGGAGGTCACGGCACCACAATCGCTGGTGTAGTTATTGACAGTGGGAAGTTTGACTGGGGAAAGAATGCAGCACGCTTCCCACAGTTTGTTGAACCTTCCGAAGGCTACCATGGCTTGAAGTTCTGGGAAACCTTTGGTCCCCTTGCTTTTGCCATTCGGGTGCGAGTGGAGATATTGAGAGATGTTGGATCAGCTCTGAACCCTTTTGCTGCGCAACAGCTTCTCCTCGGCATCGAGACCTTGAGTTTACGTGCCGAGAGACATGCAAGCAATGCTATAATACTGGCCAATTGGCTTCGCAAAAATGAACACGTCTCTTGGGTCTCATACCCAGGATTGGAGGACCACCCGAGCCATGAGACGGCGAAGCGCTATCTCAAGCATGGCTTTGGTGGCGTTCTTTCTTTTGGGGTCAAGGGAGGTGCTGCCGCTGGCAGTCAAGTGGTTGACGGCTTTAAGTTGATCAGTAATCTCGCAAAGTAAGTCCATCTGCGGTGGGGGCTGGACTCATCTGAAAGCTTCGGCTGCTAATCATGTCTTCTACAGTGTTGGGGATATGAAGACCCTCGCTATTCACCCTTGGTCCACGACTCATGAACAGCTTACCGTGCAGGAACGCATTGACTCTGGAGTCACTGAGGATGGAATCCGCATCTCGGTGGGTACTGAGCATATCGACGATATCATTGCCGACTTTGAGCAGTCGTTCAAGGCTGCTAGTGCTCTGTAAGCTATGCTTTCGCTGGTTAATTTTGAACTCTTGAAGTCTGGCTGGAGAGGCAGTGGCTGGTCCCGCGCTTATTTCATAGGGACTTGGGGATTGGGTCGAATCAGACACCAGAACGCAGATCCCAAAACGACAACACGCATGGGCAGGCACTGAGGAATCCCATTGCAGAGGCGGGAACAGACATTTTCACGTACTATTCTGACAATATCGAGATGATACCAATATGAAACATCTAGTTTTCAATAGCGAGCGGGCCCTTTGTAGAATCCTAATAAAACACTCAAATCAAGATAGTAAAGGGAAAAGGCAGTGCCTAATAAGGCCGCCTGGATGGAGCGCCTGCATCACCGATTACTACAAGGTTGGATTATACTACGGGCAAGCAGACACTGGATGGGTAAGATAAGAACGGAGCATCTAATACGTAGCGACTATTCATCATAAATTAGCTCGTGATTTTGCTTCCAATCTGACTACAGAAGCAGCGAGCAGCGCGTACCAAGTGCCCAAGAAAGTTAATGCCTACGATGTTGTACAAAAAAGCGGTAGATCCGATCTCAGAACTTATGAATTTAGGTAAATAAGTGGGAGGTCAACTATGCACAGGAAGCGAAGAAAAGGAAAAGAGTTGGGAACGCAAGTGCAGAAGAGACACACGAGAAGCGGTTATCAGCCAACTAGCATTCCGTTTGATAGAAGGAAAAAAGCAAGGAGGAAAACATGGAAAAAGTAATACATCACATCACAAGAGCCACCCTTTCCCGGGGAGAGATGAGCGGGTTGCGAATACAGGTAGATAGAGAAGACAAGAAGCAAAAAAAGAAAAGGAAAAAAAAAAAAAAAAGTAGAAGAAATACAGATCAGGTATACTTAGACGCTGAATGGTTCAGTAAGTGTTCGAGCCAGCGAACTTCGGTCCACTCACTTCTCCAACAAGCGCTGTGTGCCGAGACATCTGTTTATGCGATGAATTGAAGCAACAAAGACATAGGGGGAATACATTGTGGAGCCACATGGGAGATGCAGTGCTCTTGACCCGCCTTGAGAACGCCCACTCATAAAGCGTATGCCTTCCGCTGAACAATGAATACGAAAGCGCCAACGCCGATTATTTTTGGGGGTGTGCGGAAACAGATTTACATGAGAACGTTGCAGAGTAGAAAGGAGAAAAGAGATAGAGAGACAAATGGGGAAGAAGAGACGAAGAGAAAATAGTGGTATCAAAACAAGGGAAGAACGAGATGATGGAGAGCAGGGGCTAATTGTCGTTCAAATAGCATGCTTCATAGCTAATTGCTTCCTTGGCCTGGAGGAGGCGGCTGTGCCGCACCGCCAGATCCAGCTTGTGCTCCTCCCATCATAAAGCCGGGAGGGAACATGGGCATGCCGGGGAATGAGAAGCCGAAGCCAGGCACTGCAGGCGGGACACCGACATTGTTGGCATTAGGTATCTCGCGCTCCACCGAGCCACCCATGCCCATCCCGTTGGCAGGTCCATCGCGCTCCGGCCGACGGAATCGGTCCTGCTGCGTGCGGGAAGAGACAGGTCCACGCTTGCCGCCAGTGTCGGTAGCAATCCTTCTGCTGATAGCTGTTGCAGATCATTAGCTTCATGGTAAACAAAAAACAAACTTTAGAATAAACATAGTGCTAACAAACCTTTGGAGGATACACCAGCGCCAATCTCAATGTCGGGCTCCTCGACGACCATTCCGGACTCGATGGTCCTTCCGCCAGTGCCGCCATATTCGGCGGTGAGCATCCATTTCCGATCAGCCTCCGTTAGTCTTTCAATCGGAATCACACTGATGCCTGTTTGGTAATCGCTGCAGTCACGAGGACCAAATCCCACACCCCATCGAGTCTATGATATGAGTTAGCTGAGAAAGAACATGACGGAATAAAAGTTGAGAGCTTACCCTGAGCTGCATGTCACCGGACTTGTAGGATTCCATGCCATCGCGTGCCATGACGGCATCCTGACGGCTGATCATCTTGATGAAAGCATGACGCTTGTCAATGTTGACGATGCACGTCTGGACGATGCCAAATTTGCTAAAGAGAGAGCGGAGATGCGCCTCAGAAGACCTAAGCGTATGTTAATACGTAGTCCAGTAGTTACTAGAGAGGGGTGTGGGAGAGAAAACGTACGTAACACCTCCAACGAAAAGAGTACGACTCAGGACTATACAACGGCCAGTTAGCAATTCTATACTTTGTTTGGGCCTGATTGGCTTCGGGAAGAGGATAAGATAAGTATGGGCAGAAACCAACCTTTAATGTTCCCTTGGCCAATGGAGTAGTCCCACTCGATGAACTTGGGGCCTGGGGGAGGCAAGGTAGGATCCTTGCGAGGAGGAGAAGGAGTGCGACGACGGCGTCCAGGAGGGCTGCGCTGACGATACTCATTTCCTCTGCGACCGCGCGGGTCTCCACCACGACGTCCCGGGGAGTCGCCATGATACTCACCATAGACAGGACTGTCACGACGACGAGGAGGGGAGGCTTCACGACGTCTGTCCCAACCGGGGAGCGAGAACGGCGGCGGTACTGGCCAGGAGGGGAGCGCATGTAATCGCGATCACGCTCACGGTCCCGGTCGAATTCACGTGACTGGGAGTCGGGCCGAGCGCCCCAAGCGTTGGCAACGGGCTGACCGGGCAGATTGAAAGGCGGAGGAGCCTGGCCGGCGGTCATTCCACCCATACCGGCGGCATTGGACAGGCTGAGAATCTGCAGGGCAGTGGCCCACTGCTCTTGAGGAATGCCTTGGGCAGCCAGCAATTGCAGGAGCTGGAGCTGCTGCTGCAGAGCATCAGGCCCGATCGGGGCAGTCGGCTGAGCCGGAGCTGCAGTCGCCTGCGGCAGTAGCGCGGCCAGTGGGTTTTGCGCTGCTGCCAACGGGTTGGGGGTGTGGTTCTGGCTCTGGGTCTGCGGCTGCGGCGGCACCAATGCCGGGTTTTGAGCAACGCTACTCAATCCCGCGAACGGGGTCGCCATGCTTCCAGCAGCATACGGGTTTACACCAGCCTGTCCATTCGGCGCCTGTGAAGCCTGGTCTACGGATGATGACGCGGGCTGCGGAACCGTACTTTGCTGGGTCAAAGCATTAAGAGGGTTAGTCTGTGCCGCCACGGCCGGGGCTGCGGGGGCTGTTGTGTTCTGCTTGGCCATGTCGGCCAGGGCCTTTAGAATACTGGAGGTGTCTGGCGCCTGTTGAGCAGAAGTGGTCGAAGGCACACCGTTAAGCGGCTGCTGTTGACCTCCCAGCGGCATGTAGTTGGGTGCTGGCGAGCCTTCCGGGGTAGTGGATTCCACATCTAGACAGCAGATAAAAGAAGAACGATTAGAGACTATACCAGGACAATTTTCCAAGTCAAGCGAAGACAGGCGGTTCTAGAGGGCCGCTCGGCTTGATCACGCCGAGATACAAGGAAGCATCAGCTGGAGGGGATAATATTGCTTACTTTGTGAAGGGGGTGCGTTTAACTTCTCCTTGAACGAGGCAAGCATGGGGGCAGGGAAAGTATAGCCCCGTTCCCAAATGTCGACCAGTTTCTTGATTTTTTCCTATAAGGAGAGGCGGACGTATACGTAAGTTGGACTATTCGTCACCAGACAACGATAGAAGAGAAAAACGAGGCAGAGAGGGGGAAGGGAGCACAGCGGCCACGAATACTATGCATGGCAACTTGGGCTATACAGCAGGAGATACGGATATCAGCTCTTAAAGCAGGCCACCACCAAGGGTTTCTTCGAAGCAAACCCCGGCTTCCTATCGGCCATATGCTTGCCCGCGGCCACTGTGAATGTTTGATGATATAATCTGCGTATTGCATCTAGAGCGTACCTTTTGATCTTCAGGAGCGTTGTTTATGATGTCCGTCATGAGGACAGGTAGCAATTCGGTCACTCGGTTGACACCAGCGGCGAAAGTACCATCGGGAGCAGCACTACCGGATGGCTGTCCTGCCTTGCGCGCTGCTTCTACCCATTGTCGAGTTACAGAGTCTACGACATAGAGTACGCCCAATTTGTGTGTTCCTGGTGCCTTCTTGAAGTGTGTATAGATCTTCTGGATGAGAACGGATTCATTCTGTGACAAGAGAAGAACCATAAATTAGCATGAGATTCTATTGATGAAGTGTTTTGATGATAATGGCGGAAGTGGAAAGTAATACCTGAACGTTTGCCGTGCAAAGCGATGTAATACTGTTGATCTTAGAGCCTGAGACACCCGGGGGCTTGAGTGCCAGCATAGACTGGAGGTAGTTATCCAGTTCTGCTACAGCAGACGACATGGTGGACGAGATTTTTGGGTGTTGACTCGAATCCAGTACGGGGAGAACAGGATACACGCAACAGGTTTCTGTTTAGACTATCGCTTTTCAAGTATATGGTAAACGCGACCGGATAGTACCAAGTTCCCAATGAGCTGTTACTACTGGGAGATCCAGCGCAGCTAAGGTGGCGATGATGCTTAAGAGAGGAATATCAGCAACCTGCAGGGTCGTGGACTCCCAAATATGATGGAAAAGCGATTTCCTAAGCGGACTTCTGGTCGTGTCACTACAGACTCCACGAGCGTACTCTGGTGACCAGGGGGGCCTTCCGCCTACAGCTGGAGCACAGCCAAGCGATGCTGTCCAGGGCCTTGCAACTCGCGAACGAGTACGTGTACAGAGTACGACCTAAAAAAAGCGAAGAGCTGAGCGCAACAGAAAAGATGCAAAGGCGGATATTACAGAGTTGCCGACTTTGCTGCGGAAAAGAGTGGGGGATGAGAAACGGTGCAGAAGAGATGAAGAAAGGATAGAAAGGGAGTTGAAAGGGAAGGGATTTCGTTGAAGGTAGTAAAGGTGGTCAGTCAGGTGAGGAGAAAAATCAGCATATATCTGCGCTAGGCTCGAACGGGCAGCAACACCTAAAAACAAGTGAGTGAGCCGGGTATGCCCAGCCATTTTTCTTTTCTTTTGCCTCAGGCTGCCATATCTGCATAGCCACACGTGATATTCATGTTTTTGAACGAGATATGCAATCCTTACATAAGTCCCGCCAAAGCATGAAACAAGTGCATGAGTCGCAGTTCGGTGAGTCGAATGAGGTAGAGGTAATGCGCTAGGCTTCCCCATCATGTTAGGTAACCGATTTTCTACACAACAAATGAAGACCGTCCCACCGTTTGAGAAACCTTACAGAGTACTCCATTAACCCCTGGAAACATTTACAACGGAGACACTTATCAAGTAGTTAACCATGAGAACTCTGTTCTTAGTTCTTACAGGCTAGGACTCAGGAATTTGGATACTTTCCCTTACTGCTTACTTCACTTTCCAACCGCAATCACGAGTATCCTTCACAGTTTAGTCCCCCTTGTGACCATGCAAATCTTCAATCATGAGTGATAAAGGTCTGTAATTATATATGTCGAGCAAGGTGTGTAAGGTAATACCACTACATACTTGTATTGTTGTTATGGCTGGGGAAATCCGTGCCCATGGAAACTCAATGGGTGGGCAAAATTGTGGATGAGATGGCGAATGCCGACGTCACTAGCCATGGACCAACAGCTCTACTGTGGCACTCCGTTTACGGATGAGACGGCGCCGATGATCGTCACAATAATAGTAGCCCGAGGCGGCATTACAGTGCCTATATCTATATTCCAACACATGCACATGCATGGTTGACCGTTCGATCACAATTGACAGCTCTGGGCTTTGCTCTTGAACGGACACGCATAAGCTCGAGCAAGTATGAAAGAATGACATGTAGAACTCTAAAGGTTGTAATAGTAAATACATAGCGTAAAAGTACACACAGACTAAGAAACAAAACGCAAGGAAAGAGAGGATTTTACTCCGGACTCCGTTCCGTACAACGGAATCAAGCGGGTAAGGGTCACCACCAAAACATGATGGATCCTTCTGATTGCCGCTGGAAAGCGCGCCGAAATCCTGGCTCAGACTCGGGATATCGGCCGGGTTGAGACTAGTGTGACCGTAACATACAGCCGCCCACCATTACCGCACGGCGTTGCCGTGCGTTACCGTACAGTCCGCGTACCGGCTGTATTAGTACGGCCAGATGGAAAAAAAGGGCCGCGCAAAAGAGCTTCTCCATAACTTGGGAACACCGTGCGGCCCATCTTCCTTTTTCTTTTCTCCTACCGTGTCCTGATATACCCTCTTTCTCTCCTCTCCTTCTTTCCTTCCAACCACTCAACTTACTGCAAGTTGTTCACATTCACCATGGCTTCCACCTTGAGACTGGGCACCTCTGCTCTCCGTTCCTCCTCCATTGCCGCTAAGCCGGTTGTTCAGTCTGCTGCCTTCAATGGCCTGCGCTGCTACTCTACCGGCAAGGCCAAGGTTCGTTCTACCTCGATAACAATCATTCCTCGAATATTCATACTGATGCTTCTCTGGTTTATAGTCCTTGAAGGAGACTTTCGCTGAGAAGCTCCCTGCCGAGATCGAGAAGGTCAAGAAGCTCCGCAAGTACGCACAGCTCCCCGTCCGACCCTTTTCTCTACAGCAGGCCTTGTTAACCAGTCAATCAATGTTTGTAGGGAGCACGGCAGCAAGGTCATCGGCGAGGTCACTCTTGACCAGGCCTATGGTGGTGCCCGTGGTGTTAAGTGCCTCGTGTGGGAGGTATGATGAGGACCTGGTTAATAAATTTTGAGACTGTTTAACTGACTTCAATAGGGTTCCGTTCTCGACTCTGAGGAGGGTATCCGTTTCCGTGGCCGTACCGTACGTTGCGAGCAACCGAAGAACTATTCGAAATTTATACTGACAGTATTTTAGATCCCCGAGTGCCAGGAGCTCCTCCCCAAGGCTCCCGGTGGTCAGGAGCCTCTTCCTGAGGGTCTCTTCTGGCTCCTTTTGACTGGCGAGATCCCTACTGAGCAGCAGGTCCGCGATCTGTCTGCTGAGTGGGCTGCCCGCTCCGACCTCCCCAAGTTCATTGAGGAGCTCATCGACCGCTGCCCCAGCACCCTGCACCCCATGTCCCAGTTCTCTCTGGCCGTCACCGCTCTTGAGCACGAGTCTGCCTTCGCCAAGGCCTATGCCAAGGGTATCAACAAGAAGGACTACTGGAACTACACCTTCGAGGACTCCATGGACCTCATTGCCAAGCTGCCCACCATCGCTGCCAAGATCTACCGCAACGTCTTCAAGGATGGCAAGGTCGCTCCTATCCAGAAGGACAAGGATTACTCCTACAACTTGGCCAACCAGCTCGGCTACGGCGACAACAACGACTTCGTTGAGCTCATGCGTCTTTACCTGACCATCCACTCCGACCACGAGGGTGGCAACGTCAGTGCTCACACCACTCACCTTGTTGGTAGCGCTCTGAGCTCCCCCATGCTCTCTCTTGCCGCTGGTCTGAACGGTCTGGCTGGTCCTCTCCACGGATTGTAAGTATCAAATTCTTCGATTTCCATCAAAACGAAGCGATCTCGCTAATGTTTCTTTTTTTTCCAATCACATAGGGCCAACCAGGAAGTCCTTAACTGGCTCACCAAGATGAAGGCCGCCATTGGCAACGACCTCAGCGACGAGGCCATCAAGAACTACCTCTGGTCCACCCTGAACGCCGGCCAGGTCGTTCCCGGATACGGCCACGCCGTCCTTCGTAAGACCGACCCCCGCTACGTGTCTCAGCGCGAGTTCGCTCTTCGCAAGCTGCCCGATGACCCCATGTTCAAGCTGGTCAGCCAGGTCTACAAGATCGCTCCTGGTGTCCTGACCGAGCACGGCAAGACCAAGAACCCCTACCCCAACGTCGATGCTGTAAGTTGCCTCGTGAACCTGCGCTTCAGTTGCATGCGCGAGCAGTGTACTGACCGATATGTAGCACTCTGGTGTCCTCCTCCAGTACTACGGCCTGACTGAGGCCAACTACTACACCGTCCTCTTCGGTGTTTCCCGTGCTCTGGGTGTCCTTCCCCAGCTGATCATCGACCGTGCCCTTGGTGCCCCCATTGAGCGCCCCAAGTCCTACAGCACTGAGGCTTTCGCCAAGCTTGTTGGTGCTAAGCTGTAAATGAGTTTGGGATGACATGAAAAACCGGAGGTGATTCTTATTTCTTTTTACGATAAACACAGCATCTTGTATTATGCCTACCCTGTTCTGGTTTAGTATTTTTGTGACTGGGGACTATTTAAAGTGTTGGGGTTTGTTCGATTAATGTATGATAGGACACGGTTCGAGCGGGCCTTGTAACAAACAGCACTTGAGAAATTCCAAGTCAATCGTCTTCATTCTTATTTCGTATTAGACCCCGGGACTGTGTATCGCGGAGTGACAGACCAGCAAGCGTAAGGGGGGGCGCGCGGAGAGGGGCAAGCTGACATTGCAAGTCGGATGCCGAAGATAAGAATTAGGCAGGGAGAGGCCAAGAGGAGTGGGATCGGCGCGGTCGAGGCACATACTCCGTACGTGATTAGTGCCACCAGTGTCGAGCTGGTTGCAGGTCTGCATATCGGTCAAATCATAGGCCGAAGGTGAAAAAGCTCCGCGGACTGACCGTCGAACAACATAGCCAGTCAGGCAGCAGGGTAAATTGAAGATGCATCGGGTTTCGATCAGGTTTCGGAGAATGAATTGGACATTTACATTGACTTATTTAGATACTTTATTTCAACCAACGCTAACTGCAAATGTTCGGGGCGCCATTGGTGACCTCCGGAGCACTCCATCGTTCAAGCGGAACAATACGAGCTACGGACAGTGTGAGATAAGCCAGACTGGAAGTCTGATTTGAAAAGACGAGACAGTCAAATGAATGAATGAATGAATGGCCTACTCCGGGAATATTTGAAGGAATGATGAGTACTCCGTATGAGACAAGCATATACATAGTAACTGCTACTACGGGCGCCGTAGTCCGGGCGCGTTCAGAGATCCTGGCGGATCCTCCTTCTGATCCTCCCATGATCGTGGTTGCTATGGGGGGGAGCGGAAGGGAGGGACTACTCCGTACTCCGGACTACCTCTCTCCCTTTTTGGTGCCAAGTAGGTTAGTAGTAGAATCTAGATGTGGTTATTATTTTTGTAGGAGGTAGATAGATACTCCATAGATAGATAGTTTGGGACTACTATCATTCCAGGGCCAGCTGGACGTGGGTCCCCCCGATCGACCCTCTCAACCGTTTCGGAAAATGAATGCAGCTCCAGGGTGTTTGTTGGGGGGGAGCCCGGTTTGCTCCGGGCCTCAACTGAAGCCCTCGGCTGTGGCTCACCGCCGGGCCTGAAGCAGGCTAGTGGCCGCTGTGCCTTGATCAGGTTTAGCGCCATCCCCAATCGGCCGATGGCGGGCGGTGATTGGATCTCATTGGGTTCCTGGTTGTTGCGGTGGTGAGTGTGCTCATTACTACGGAGTACTCCTTGGTACGGAGTGCTTGGATGCGCCCACGCCAGACAAAAAAAGCAACTCTTTGACCTGCAATTGGGAGAAAAAAACCACCATCTGAATCGATAGGTACGTATGCTCTACCTGGAAGGGCGTCCCACCCCCTCGTTGATCCTTCTTATAATTTCCCTTTTTCCTCTTTTTTTCTCCTTCATCTTCTTCCCTCATCTTCATTCATACATACATACATACTGCTGCTTCTACCGTACATATACTCGATACCTTCCCCGGAGCTACCTGCTTACTTGGCCTGTCCTCCTCATCAGTGTCACCTGCCTCCGAACTCACCTTCTTCCATCCACAAACAACCGAAACCGACTTCGCTTCTGGTCGTTCGTCCCTGACGTTTCCGACCCGCAGACTACCTTCCGATTCTTCGTGATCCCTTAAGGCGACGAAGCCCCCAGATTTCCCTTGGTCAGGGCCCCTTTCAGCGCTCCCAAGGTCAGATATGTCTACCGCTACTGCCGCGACGGCCGCCACTGGCCAGAAACAGCTCGAAAAGAAGCCCGTGAAGTTCAGCAATCTGCTACGTATGTAATATCTGCTACAATCCCGGACGATTAGCGTTTTGAAGGAATTTGGTTCTGATGGCATTGCTACAGTGGGTGCTGGATTGAACCTCTTCGAGTATGTTTTCCCTTCTCACCCGCTTCTTCCAGCGCACCGTGTGTTTCATAACTAACATAGAATAGGGTCACCACTTTGGGTCAGGTACGAAGCAATAACCGAAGCGGTAATTGTCGGCTTATGCTAACTCCGTTTCAATAGCCGCTGGAAGTGATCAAGACGACCATGGCTGCAAACCGGGGCGATAGCTTCGCTGGTGCTATGGGTCGAATTTGGGGCCGTGGCGGGATCCTCGGTTGTAAGTGCTCTTTCCTCCGCTTTCGCTTCTCCGACTAGTGTGGGGTGGTATTGTCTGACACTCGTCATTTACTCTAGATTATCAAGGTCTCATTCCGTGGGCCTGGATTGAGGCCTCCACTAAGGGCGCCGTCCTCCTCTTCGTCGCATCGGAGGCGGAGTTCCGTGCCAAGGTGCTTGGTGCGCCCGACTTCGCCGCCGGTATCGCTGGAGGTATGGTCGGTGGTATCGCACAGGCATACGCGACCATGGGTTTCTGTACCTGCATGAAAACCGTCGAGATCACCAAGCACAAGATGGCCGCCCAGGGCGTCAAGCCCCCCAGCACCTTCGCGACCTTTATGGATATCTACCGCAAGGAGGGCATTCGTGGTATCAACCGTGGTGTCAACGCCGTTGCCATTCGCCAGACTACCAACTGGGGATCCCGCTTCGGTTTCTCTCGCCTGGCTGAAACCGCTATTCGCAAGGTCACCAACAAGGATGAGGGTCAGAAGCTCAACGCGTTTGAGAAGATCCTGGCTTCCGGTCTCGGTGGTGGTCTCTCTGCCTGGAACCAGCCCATTGAGGTGATCCGTGTCGAGATGCAGAGCAAGACCGATGACCCCAACCGCCCCAAGAACCTCACCGTGGGCAAGGCCGCCAAGTACATCTACGACCAGAACGGCATCAAGGGATTGTACCGGGGTGTGGCTCCCCGTGTGGGTCTGGGAATCTGGCAGACCGTCTGCATGGTGGCACTTGGTGACATGTAAGTGGAACAAACTTTCCCCTCTCTTGCATTATCAATACCCCGGGCGGAGCACTTCCTACGGGGGTGGCGCCCCGATCTTCATGTGATAACCGAGGAGTGAACTGGAGCTAACGTGTGGGTCTCCGTTACCCCGAACAGGGCCAAGGAAGCAGTCGAAAAACTGACGGGCGACAAAGTCACCGCTAAGCACTAGAGAAGGTTTGAGATACCCTTCTGCCATGCGCGGTCTCGGTCGGAGGAGCGGATGCTAGATAATCTTACCCATACGGTGTGGAACTTGCTCGGTCCGTAGCTAGCTATGCATAGGGCCGACGAGCATGCCGCAAGAAAGTCTTATGAAACCAAAACTACCTTAGCATAATAATGTTAATATATTCCATATACCAATAGGCCATATTTGACCATACGTTGACTTTCCATTGGGAGAAACACATGCACAATTGTCCACCTGTGTTCTGATGCCGTTCGTTTGTTTGTTTGTTATGCATTTTCCCTATTTATCCAATCCACATATCCCGTGTTACCGAGGAAGAACAGAGTCGAATAAATACACAGTAGAGCCAGCCACCACATACCTAGGTAGATTCACAAGCTCGCTACTATCCACTCCGGCGTAAATGCCCGTCCTGCCTACTCTCGGCTGAGGTATGACAGTCTCTAGTTAGCCAACGGCCCCCTTCGGGAATGTGGGCAAGCCCGGGCCTCTCCCCTTCCCACACGGCTATCTTACACATTCTTGAATGAAAGTGACAATCAATCAATCCATCCGTCCGTCATCTGTCATATTGTGCGGGTTTAATCTCTTCCAAAACCCGATTTCCAGGGCCGGCTGGCTGACACCCACACAGCCTTACCACTTACCATCCGATCATCTTACTAGAGTATAGTATAGTATAATATAGTATAGTATTAGTATAGACTAGTATGCATGTATCCAAAAACCGGACCTTACCCCCCTCCTCCTCCTCCTCCTAAAACCAAAAAATTTCCGATGCCGCAGATGATATTATAGACTAGTATAGTATATGTATGTACTTTTGTTCGATTGATTGTACTCTAATATTTTTTCTCGGTGAACCATCTACGGTAACTATTCTCCGAGCATCCCAGTCATGGCTTGCATATGATTATGATGGCGTGTCTCACTAAGTCATGTACTTGTCTAGTACTACTGCATATGTAGGCATCCCTGTTCTAATTTGGGTCAGGTGATGGGATTGTGTGTGTTGTAAGCACGTATGTCTTGGTAGTTTCGGTTGAATGCCCATATCTATGGTATCTATCTATTCATTTGTCAATTTGCGTTTTGATCGGCTGTATCTGTGTGGATTGTGTATGTAGATATAGTAAGTAAACAGTGCTGGTGAATTCTACTCCGAATTGATGGTTCTATATATATAGTACCTCTCTTTTTTTTTTTTTTTTTTTTTTTTTTTTTTTATTTATGAAGCAATTGATCTATATTTGGATGTCTGTCTTTTGTTGAGTGGTCGATGGTTGTGAACGGGTTGTTAAAGTAAAAGTGAAAGAGGAAGACGGGTGGGTGAACTTGGTGATGTTTTCGTGGTAGGGCAGTCGGGACTTGATACATAGTATATCAGTACTTCCTAGTAATTAGCAGTAGCAGTCAGGTACTTAGGTGGGACTAGTAATTTAGCATATAGTACTATGCATATGCTGGTCCAGAGTAGCATTGATAGTACTATTATTGTGTTGATTGTGATACTAGTAGAGCAGCACTAATATAATAATATATATTACTATATGTTACACCATTGAGTTAAGAGGGGAAAGGAGGATGTCGTCGTCGAACAGTTCTACTGATGCCAATTATATACCCTATTGATAATGTCCACAAGAATGATTTCATTTAGTAATTCTGCCTATCGGCCAGCTGAGCTTTGATCTGACTGGTAACAGACTTGTTGGGGGTTCTTCGGGCAAGCTTTGTGTATCGGAGTGTCGGGGTTTGGTTCAATGCTGAGTATCATAGTGTAGAAATGAGATAAATTGGTTGTTAGCTACTACTGAATGAAAATAGGTAGTACTACTATATGATATATATATATATATATATTGGGGGTGATGGCTCTATGGAGTAGTACTGGACGTACTGACTCCTACTAAGGCTGTTAGATAATACAAGTTTATCCATTCCGTTGCATCGAATATATAGCAACAGCAAGGAGGAACAGGGGAAATCATATACCAGAGAAATCAAATTCGATACATTTTGCAAATTGCGTTTTCCAAAACTATTCACAGTAGGTTACTGCAAGCAGCCTACATCGCAGCGAGAGAGGTATTGAACAAAGATGGGTTAAGGTACAATTGTATTACAGACACACAACTACAGCCACATCACAAAGAGAATATCTGCGGAAAGGTCGATCTAGACACATGATAAAAAATAGAGGGGGTGTTCGGTTTTTTCCAAAGCCAGTCTAATATGTATTGTATACATGTTTAAACAGTCAGACCAAGGTCCTCGCCGTAGGGGAGCTGGAAGAGGTCTCCAACAGTGGCGACGGAGGCCTTGCCAGACAGGAAGGACTTGGCAACCTGTGTATGAAAACATTAGCCATTGTCCTCCAAAAATGATTATTGCCGCAGAAAACAAGAGTAGGTGAATTGATAAACTTACATCCTGGACCTGAGCCTCAGTGACGGCATCAATGCTCTGAGCAACCTCACCAATCTGGTAAGGCTTGCTGCCGTTGATGAGAGCGGAACCGGTAGCCTCGAGACCAGTCTCAAGGGTCTGGGCGGACTCGAGAGCGCGGAACTTGGCGAGGGCAACGGCCTTCTTGATCTCCTCGGCGGCAACCTCACCGGCGGCAACCTTCTTGAGAAGGTCGACGGCGTTCTTACCAACAGAAGTGATCTGGTCGGCCTTACCGGAGAGAGCAATGGTGAAGAGACCAGCATCCGAGTAGGTCAGGTTCTGGGTCGAGGCACGGACCTGGGAGAAGCCCTGGGTGGCCTGGGCGAGGAGGGAGAAACCGGGGGTCCACTTGATGGAGGACTCACCACCCAGGAGGGCAGCGAGGACGGAGGCCTCGGGCTTGTAGGCAGCGGTTCCGAAGGCACCGGAGCCAGGGAAGGCAATCACAAGGGCGTTGCCGGCCTTGGTGGAGACACGCTGCTCACCACCGTAGTACTTGGAAGCAGCGCTCTGGAGCTGGGCACCGCTGGGGACGGCCTTGAAGAAGTCACCAACCCACTTGGAGACATCGGCGGAGCTGGCACCGCTGCCAACAAGAGCAATGTTGGACTTGGCAAAGGCCTGCTGGGCGTACTCAGCCAGAGCCTCAGCGGAGAGGTACTTCTCGAAAGGAACGGTGGTCGAGGGGGTGATGCTCTCACCCAGGCCACGGTGGAAGGCGACGGCGTGAGCGGCATCGACAGCGAGAGCCTCGGGGTTGGCGGCAAGGGCCTGTTGTCTGTACTTGAGAGTCTTGAGGACAACCTCGCTCAACTCGTGGGCTGAGAAGCCGAATTAGACCGGTTCGTCTGACATTTGGAGGAGGGGGAAGGGGTGGCGGCATATTCCCGTTGTCTCCTTACTCACCTGCAAACTTGGTCTGAGAAGCAACCTCGGCGAGAAGTTCAGCGAAGTAGGGGAGATCGCCAGAGAGGAACTTGGCCTTGAGGACGACGTTCTCGCGAGAGTGTGTAGAGGAAACTTCACCGCCCAGCAGTTCGACTTCCCGATTGATCCGCAGTGCCGAGCGCTTCAGCGTAGACTGTCCATTGATAAGAAGAATTGGTTAGCAATTGCCTAAGAGAATAGTGTAGTAGAGAGCGTGGATGTCGGATTGAAGCCAGGAAGGACGAACCTTGAAAGCGAACTGTTCGAGGGCATCGGAGAAGCCAGGGACGGGCTGGTAACGGGGACCAGCCTTTGCAACCAGAGCAAGGGTGCTGGTAGGGCCAGCAACTTCCCGGTTGGCGACCTTCACACCAGCAGACTCAGAGACGTCGTACTGGAGACCAGGAGTGGCAGCAGAGGCCATGCCCCGACGGCTGCTGGCGCCAGCAGCAGAGCACTGCTTCTGGAGCGCACGGGGCGCATTCCGGCTGAAAGTAGACCGCGACAGCATCATCGCATGTGTGAGAGGGATAGAGGAGGGCGAGAAGAGTGGTTAGCCGAGAAGCTCGACAGCAATTGGGAGGGTTGAGAGGAGTGGGAGCAGGGGAAGGCTGCTGGCGGTCGTTGGGCGGATCAGAAACGATGTCTGAAAAGCTTCAAGATGCCGGCTGGTCTTGATTACTCGCCCCGTGATTGGCCCGAAATGCGAGTGCGGGCGGAACCGGCTTTTCCTCGTCCTCCGGGTCACCTGATTCCTTATGTGAGCAGGTGTCCCGTGCAAAGTAGTAATATATCAATGCCTCAGGCCGACAATCACCATGACATTTTGCAGATCACGCTTTCTCTCCTTTCCGATTGCCGAAAAAAAGTATCCCCAATCTTGACTTCTCCATATCGCGCCTGTCGTTCCCTTCTTGCATTTTACCTCATGCGATTCCCTCGGTGACCTTCCCCTCCCTTCTAGAGAATTGAAGCTTTTCGCGTTCTCTAGAAGCCATCCATCATGACTTCCCAAGTATGCGATCAATTCCCCTTCCCCTCTCTTCCCGCCCCTCATCTTTACCACTGCTAATGGTCCGAGTAATAGTACGCGGCAGAGCTATGTGCGCTCTTGGTCGAGGATAATTTTGGGGAGCTTTTTGCGGTATGCTCGCTTTTGTTCACTTGGTAACCCGCTGCATCCATGAAAAACCATACAGTCGGTGTCAATTTGCGGGCCACATCGAGCAACAGGCTGACCGTCATCCGTCTTCGCCAGCGTATCTTCTCAACCCTCCAGCGCTATGACCGGCTCTCATTACCGCGACTAAAGTTCTACTCGCGCCTCTCCGATCGTCAACTTCGTCATGGACTTTCCGCCATGATTCAACACCACCTGGTGTACCATTACACTTCCTACGACGATGGCGTTACCTATTACGAACCAAACCTCCAGGCTGCATATTACCTTGTTCGCTCTGGAAAGATCCTGGAGTTCATTGAAGAACGGCTTGGGAAGTATGCGGCTACCCTTATGGAAACCATTATGTATCTCGGACACGCACAAGTCGGTCACCTCGAAACCATCCCGGAACTACAACCCGCACCACCTAAAGCGAATGGCGTGAAACAGGAAACCGAAGGTGAAGAGACCGAAGAACAGATGAATGGCGATGATGAGCACACCTCCGAACAGCCGGCGCTATTACATCCTACCCTGAAAATCCTGGCTTCCCACGGTTATATCTTTCGTGTGCGCGATGCGCAATTCCAAAGCTACGCTGACAACGCCCTGGATGCGGAACGTGCCATTAAGTCGCGACCTGATGTCAAGCAGCTAAAGGGTAAGAAGCTGGACGAAACAGTCCTGGAAGGGACTCTTACTCTTCTGAAGGAAAGACTCGATGGGGACCTTACCCGCGGGCTCATGCATAACGGGTTACCCCGGGGCGCGAAGAGGAGGCATGGTACCGGGTCTGCGGATGCTTCAAACAAAAAGGCACGAATGGACTACGCCGATGCTGATGAGGATGATGATGAAGAGGAGGAGAACGAATGGTCGGATGACGAGATGGGCGGGGATACCACTCCCATGGAGGTGAGACTCTGCATAAAACTCTCATATATATCCGCTTGACTGATGGGTTTGTTCAATATAGTTGGCTACTGTTGTCCGCGTGAACTATGAGAAACTCGACGTTGCTCTTCGGAACCGACGGTTTTTGGATCTTGCGGAGATGAACTCATCGCCAGTAACTGCACAGGTCTACGAGGGCCTCCTACGACGCATAGAATACCAAACCAAGCAATGCCGAGATAGTGCTGAGATACCGCGCGAAGGAGAGGAAGGCGAGCAATACTCTGTCCCCATCGCTCTTAGTGCGGTGACAGAAGAAGTCGACCCGCAGTTGGACCTTGCAGGCTCCATAGGTCCCATGGAGATACCACAGACCATCAACAAACGTGGGAAACGGCCTTTGGAGGACAGTGTCAATGGAACCGACCGTGAAGGATCAGAAGCCCCCAGCCGCACCTATGAGATAGACCAACACCTTTCTCTGCTCTCGCAGCCCCCTTACAACCTCACATCTAAGCGCCTACTTTCCGGACTCATCACCTGGACCGTCGAATTCCGACACCTAGCGCGCAAGCTCCGCCACCTAGAACTGGAACGAATGATCGAAGCCCGCTACGGCGACGTCGCTTTACGAGTGATCCGCGTACTGCACGCCAAGGGCAAGCTCGACGAGAAGCGCCTACAGGAAATCAGCCTTCTCCCCTTCAAAGACCTGCGTCAAGTCCTCGCTAGCATGCAGTCCGGTGGATTCGTGGATCTGCAAGAAGTCCCACGAGACGCACAGCGACAGCCCTCTCGCACGATCTACCTCTGGTACTACGATCCGGACCGCATCCGGAGCAGCATTCTGGAGGACACGTACAAGGCCATGTCTAGGTGTATGCAACGCCTGCGCTTCGAGCGGAACCGACTCAAGGAGTTCCTGGAGAAGACGGAGCGGAGTGACGTAAAGGGCAATGAGGAACGCTATTTGTCTCAGGCTGAGTTGACCCTGTTGGAGCAGTGGAAGGCTAAAGAGGCCTTGTTGCTTGGGGAAGTGGCCCGGTTGGATGAGATGGTTGCGGTCATGCGAGACTACTGATTGGAATGATCGATTGCATCCCCTTTTCTTCTTCTATATTCAAGGAATATGACGTCTGAAACGATTCCACATATCAATGCTGTATGTCTCAGACAGGCATTATATATACATCTAGATGGGTTGCCATAGGCAGTCTGCGTTGAAAGCCTTTGCTGGCTTTTGCCTACGTCAATGTATACTATCAATACCAAAGTAACCTCCATACCCAATCTTATTTCACGAAAATACCGAGAAGTTGCATTCTAGATACAGTAACATTAGAAAAGAGGAAATGTCCCCGGAGGTAAGTGAAACACGCCCGCGCGACAGGATACCTTACGCGAAAAGGCTCAGCTAGCTACTGCCACACGAACGAAGCGCTGCCAGAAGCAGGAGGGGCCGAGGACAAGCAATAAGGTACCATGTACAAGAAGTGAAAAGGGAACAGGAAATGGCAATGGAGAAGAAAAATGCAGCTTACACCCGGAACCTCTTCTCATTAACCTGCGCGAAAAGAGACAAGAACCACCCCGTTTATTAACATTTCCAGAAATGACAGAAGCAGCCACCGTAACTCACAAAAAAAAAAAAAAAAAGGCCATCAAGATACGTGTAACGTCACCCGACGCTTCCCAGTAAATCACCGGTCTATACTTTTGCTCAAATCCACGCTCGTAACACATATCACATCATAGTGATCTTTAGGCAAGGGTCAGTCCAGCTCGGGAATCAACTCGACTACGAGGTTTCAATCGTAGCCCTATGAAGAGGGGCCTATCTCGACACGGGTGGCTGCCAATTCTGTATCAACGGCATTTCCTTCTTTCCCATTTTCAGGGTTCGTTGTGTTGTCATCACGCTTTGCCGGCCCCTTTCCTTCCCCTAGGCGCTCTTCAGCGGCTGCTAATTTGCCCTTTGTTTCTTCCAGTTCCTGTTGTAATGCTTTGATATAATCAATAGCCATCTCCACAGTGCTAGCCTTGCTGATAGGTTGGTTTCCAGCCTTCTCCTTCTCCTTCTCCTTCTCCTTCTCCTTTTCTTTTTCCCCTCCCTTGGCGTTGCAGATTGCAGCTTCTTTAGCATGCTTTATCTGAACGAATGATGCCGGGATAAGGGTCTCAATCTCCTTGAGCGCATTGTTGATGCGATTCCTCCGTCCTTGTTCTGCGAGTTTATGATTTGTCCGCTTTGAGCTCAGGTTCTCGGCCAAGGTTTCAGGGTAGGAGACGCCAGGCAAAAGAGTGCCATCCAGGATATGCTGATAGTTCGACTTTGACGCGAGGTACAGGGCTGAAGTTTCGCTTGTAATCCCTCCTAGACAACATTGGTTAGCTTGATACGCCGCAAAAGGTGCCCAGGAGCAACTCTTCAGTCGATCAAAGACTGCCGGGCAATGAAGGCGCAGATTGGGTAGAAAGCACTTACCATCACCGCGCACCAATGGTTGTATACTGGGGCTTATCTTGGGACGTAAATTAGGGCTAGGCTGAGACGAGCTGAGACTCTGCCGCTTTCGGCCTAGAGGCCCCAACTTCGGAGTATCAGACTTCTTGGGCACCGGTCCGCTAGGGGAGGGCATGGCCAAAGAACGGGGGCTGGGCGCGATAGAATTGGAAGGTCTGTTGACCACTGGGGCAGACTTGGGCTCCATGGCAGGGGTGGCGCTTCCTGGCGTAGTAGTTGAAGAGGTCGAGTCCGCCCGTACCGTGGTGTTAATGCGGCTCACTGGAGGTCTCGAGACTGATTCATATGAGGTAGCTGATTCTGGAAGGACAACATCTTCCATAATATCGTCATGTGGCTCAGAGGGAGCAGGCCTGGACACAGTTGCCATCGGGCCAGTAGAGGCGTTGCTGTGTGGGGACCGTTGGATGCGCATCAGCAAAGCCGGGGTTGCGGGTTCATTGGCTTGCGACACCTGAGTGGTCTGGGGGGCAATCGCGGGAGACTTGCGGGACGGAGGAAGAGCAGGTGGCGGCATCAGTGGTTCAGATAGAGGCTCTGGAGAGACGGAATCCTGCCCAGAGCTCTCGTTACTCCCGTAGCGGAGACCACTACCACCGGAGCTGCGCGATTTGCTACTTCCCTGGTCCTGGCTTAGACTATTCAAGACCTCATCCGAGTTGATGTTCAAGAGTGACTTTTTCCGTGCCTGCGGCCGAACTGAAGGCGATTGTTGCTTTTTAGCGCGAGCGGAGAAGGACTTGGTGTTTGAAGGCTGGCGCCGATGTTTCCGCATCAGACCCGGCGAGGAGGGGGCTGACGACATAGGGAGTGCATTATCGGCTGGGGAGGGCACGAATCCCATTTCAGAGATTTGGCCGGTGTGGAAGGGGTAACCAGTGGGATTGGAAGTGTGAGCTTCGAGAGCCGGCGAGGTGAGAGGGGTGAAGTACTCTCCAGGGATGGTGTATTCAGGGAAGCGAAATTGACTTTCCAATGGGGTCATGGCAGGTGAGACCAGGGGGGTGTAAAGGGCCTGCGAAGAGCGGGTGCATGCATTAGATCATGCAGGCTAAACTCCAGATCTTGAACGGACCATGCTTACCTGTTCGTCATTCATTCGAGTGAACCGCTCGTACATCTCATGACCGTCATCTGTCCGGTGTGAGTGCGTAGCGGCACTTCCCTGGAGCTCGATACTGTTAGGGGTGGGGGGTATCACTGTCTGACCATGAGGAACGTAAGCCTGTGTCGTCGGGTGCGAGTGGTGGGACATCTGGTGTGACTGTTCCTGCATCGGTTGGTGCTGCTGTTGAGGGTGAAAGTACTGGGGCTGCGGGGGCTTGTGCGCGTAGAATGCCGGGGTGACTGGGGCATTTGAGTATGACGAGGGATGCGGCTGGACCTGCTGCCCATGGTTGGAGAGGTCGAGAGAGAAATCATTGTTCATGAGGTGGGCGTATGACGGCGACTGGGTGCTAACATTATCGGTATCCATGCGGACCAATTGCTCCTGCGCAGGTGCTGTTGTGGCGGGCATCGACATGGAGGCCGGGTGGGCAAGAGGCCGGGAAGCGTGAGGGTCACTTGGCCCATGCCCCTCCACATCAGGGAACTGCATGCCAAACTCGAGGAAGTTGGAGAATTCATCATCGCCCGGGTTGGTCATATCTGACCAAGCCAGAGGATGCTCTTGCTCCATGACGAGGAATGCCGCCTTCCGGATAGTAACAACAAGTTAGGAGGAGAATGGAAGACAAGACGCTGGAGATAACCGATCGGAAGTGGGATTTTAGGGTGCGGGCGAAGTGAGGGCCAACCGTGCCGGAGAAAGGGAAGGCAAAGTCAAAAGCGAACCCGGTAGGCTAGGAACGAATGATTTTCGGGACCGCGGCGCAAAAGAGAGGAAGGGAATAACAGGGCGGGAGAGCAAAAAGCTCAACAAGAATTGCTGGGCATGGCGAGAGCGGTGACGATGGTAAAAAAGAAGAGGAGGCAATGATGGTGATGATAGGTAATGGTAAGGCTCAAGCCTAAGTAGACGTAGTATGAGAGAAGAAGTACGAAGGAGAAGAGGTAGAGAGAGAGAAGGAAGGAAACGGTAAAGGAAGCAGAAGGAGAGGGTACCGGCGGTGGTGGAGGGGGCCACGGAAGGAAGACAATCTGAGGAACTAGACTCAAGAGAGTAAGTGCAAGTCAAGAGATTAACCCTGCCGTAGTCAAGAATTTATTTTCTAATTGTTGATAATATAGCGAGAACAGCAGAAATGGGTGTACCATCCATTCAAGCCATGGTGGAAGGTTAATTAGCGGACAGAGGAGGGGGCAACAGCGGCGCAGGAGATTCGTAAAGAGTGGACTTTTAGTTCATGGTGAGTAAGTAAGTGAGTCGATTACCGGGGGGAGGGTGGAATAATTGTGGATAATCCTCGGAGTCCCTAAAACGCTAAAGGTTAAGTTCGACGGCTTTTACAGACACAATCTGGTCCGGAGGTGCCAGTCCGGAGGTGCCAGTCCGGAGTGGAGGAGAGAAGGAGAGGAGGAGACGAGGAGAAAGAGGATCCCCGGCAGTGTAGCTTTCGACCGGAGAATTGGAAGGGAAATGAATGAAGGGACTAGACCAACTTGGGTCGGTCTTGCCTGGGCAAGTAGGTATGGTCGTTCTGGTACCTTGGTATTGTATCACCATAACCAATACATTACTAGTGAAATCTCATCTGTCCAATGATACTAGAATTGCTGCTTGTCTTCCATTGGGTCTGCATGGGCCATCCTTGCCCGTTTGGGACAAGCCCCATCACAGAGCCTGAGTTGATGACAGTCGGCTGGATTCGATCTAGCGCTTGGACTGCAGCCTGTCTCTGTCTTAGGGTACCTGGGAGTAAAAACGGGAAAATGGACACACTGAATCCCAAGGGTTGCTCGGTAGACCCAAACCAAGAAATAACCCATGCTTGTTCCTTCGGGTCGTTCAGCTGAAAGGAAAGCCGCCTCGAGGCTCTCGGCTGGTAAATCCAGGTATGGGAGCAATTACTACTACTGAGCGCAGCCCTCCGCACAATTCACAAACTTGTTATACGCACCCACAATTCCCCAACGATAAAAATTGTCGGCGTGGGATATTTGCGCACATATCACGGCCGGTCAATAAACATCTAAATTATAGTGTGGAGCTTCGTGCTGCGGATAATAACGGTCCGGATCTAGAGAACAGTAGATACTACCTAGGTTAGTAGTGCTTGCGTAGATATTGACTTTTAGCAGTTGTCCTGCAGCGTGTAGCGAATTTCCTGCTCTTCGTCTACGTCTCAATTCTTCTTCGATGCAATGGTAGCAAATTGTTTGTGACAATATAGCCCGAATGAAAACAACAATAGGAGGGACAGATCATGGCCACGGCCCAGAATCTCTGCAGAGGTGGGAATGTGACAAATCAGCTCTCAAGAAGACAGTCTGTCTCCCAGCTCTGTCATCCACGGAGGGCTCCATCCCCGGGAGGGGGGGGGGCCAACACAAAGTACTTCACTAGTTAGTACAGCAGATGGTCTACTACTTTGGTAGTGTGAGTGGGTAACTTTACTAGGCCCCACCTAATGGCGACAGAGGCAGGGGTCAGAATGGAGCCCTTCGGAGAGGGTAGTTTTAAGCTAAAATAACAGCACGATATGACTCCTTCGACGAGTGGCTGCCGGGTTGATTTTTCCCTGCCTTTCGACTTTTGCTTCTTTCTAGTGGGTGGCGTTGCTCACGGCCCAGTAGAAGTAGTACTAGTATTGTGTGCAGGTACAAAGTATAATATCCGCCTAGTAAGCAGGTCACAACCGGTTTCTTTCAATTCCAGGAGAATATGGCCTGAGCTCTGCATGCTCATCTATAGCTGAGGAACTTAAGTCAAGGTCATCGCTTAGGCTCCGTGAACCGATCGATGATCATGATCTCAAATGCTGAAGAACATGAGGAAGAATGACCACCCATGCTCGTATGATGGCCTTGGTTACTTGAGGTCCATGCAAGCCTTTCGGAAGGCACTGGCATGAACAGCGCCCCGGATGTTCCCGTATCGATTTCTTTTCTGCTTTTTTGTTCGTTACATTGCACCCCTACGCCTAGAACACACCAACGCTAAACCACCTTTTTAATCTCTCTCGATACAGGCAGATGTCACGGACAAATCTAATACCTTCATATACCCCCGAGTGGGTACTTAAGTAGTGAGTGGGTAGATATACTTCTATCTAGTTCGCCGTCTCGAGCTGCCGAGGAATGCTCACATTATCACCTACCTCTTACGGAGTCCAGCAGCAGGATGAAGCTGGATCGACTCCCAACTGGCCTCCGCGGACTTCTTGCGAACGAAGCTACTAGACATAGCTTCTGCCACTTTAAGCACCCTAGTCGGTCAACAGGACTAGCAGGAAGCGGGTGGGCATCCGGGCTGCCGCCCAAGACCACACAAGTCTGGCCAGTAGTGCGCCGGCTCGATATTATGTCGTCGAATCATGGATTCATGGTCTGACAACCTTTGGCGAGCTGTTGGCCATGCTCGGTTCACCTAGCGGTTTCGCAGGGTGGCGCCGAACTAAGTAAGGCTAGGCTAGGCTGCAGCCGAAGCATCTAGCAATCTCTAGGTGCAGATTTGAAGCTAGTGCAAGCCGATGCGGAAACCTTTTGAGACATTTGGTGACATTAATCTCAGCTAACGAGTTAATTAGTCGTATCTGTTATTTCACCCCGTTAGCTACGTTGGTGGAAATACCATACTCGAATCCCTGTCAGATAAGTAACACATAGGCAGGAATCAAATGATGGTGCAACAAAGGGGCCTGGATTGCCTGTTACTGTGTGGACGCCATGGAAAGAATAGTGGAGAGAGAGGCTACCATGTTCTCCGTAATGGCATCGAGGAAAAGAGAGGGAGGAGCGGGCTGTTTGTTTCTTTCGTGCTACTTAGCTTCGCCCTTAGCTCACCATCAATCAAACACGGGCAAGCTAGTGCCATTGAAGGGCGTTGCTCACGCGATCAACATGGCGGTGGATGACGTTTAAATTCTCACAGCTGATTCAATTTGAAAGTGGGATCAGATCAGCCATGACCACGAGGGTATGGAGGCACTTGATTATCGCGATTGGAGGGTGTTGGGAAGGCGAAGCGTCCATCGTTGCTGCCGTGTGCGGGATGTATCGATAAAATACCGGCTCCTACGCACCAAAGAGGGTCGGCAAATCCGATTCAGGTCATGGCTCGCAAATCCCGACATACTTGAGATAATCTTTATGTCCGTTAACCTTTTGATTATAATCTAAGAGGCGTCCAATTAATATTTAAATTTTTGATTCTTTGATACGGTGCTACTTTTTTGGTAACAATATCAGCAAACAGAAAAAACAATGTAAACTGGACAGTAATCATATTAAATTCTATTCATTAATTTGTATGTACTCGGATAATTGCGACGCCGTTCTTCGGAATAGTTTCCGACAGCCCCGAGGACTAGTTGGACTAAGCTAAGCTACAAGTTAACTCTCTCGGCAGTGGACAGAGCGGGTATACACTAAACACAGTATAAGTCTCTACATCTACATCCTACTATTCCTCCCTACCTTTACACTCCAATAATAAAATTATATGCCTACCTAATAGTAACTGTATATAACTGTAATAACTGTGACTACTAAGTTCATGCCGGCATGCATGGCTTAGCTAAGCAGGGTGCGGGGTATCCTCAGATGCTCCATCACGTGGCAGTCACCCAATGCCTGATGATGACATAAACGCAGACCAAAACCGACCAGGCATCGATCGAACGTCGCTCCTTCGAGATGGAATGCGTGTCTTCCTGTTTCCTCAACTACAATCACGGACTGCGTACCTATTCGATGTCTGGCCACCGCAAGGTCTCTGTTGAGTTGCCGCTGTAACTTCTGCTTCTTTCTCCATCATGAGACCTCCAGTGCCAGATGTTGCGCTGCCTCGATCTCGCAAGGCCTCCATCGAGCAGCAGTGGATCGACCCCCGCAGTGCCGCCCCCGCGACCTTCTTTCTGTCCCGCAATCACGGTCTCGACCACGATGATGACCTCTCCTCAGATGAGCCCGATGCCACCAGGACGAGCATGTATGGCGTACAGAGTCTTGAAGAAAGCATCCTCCAGACTAGTCAACCTGCGTCCGTGTCCCAGTCAGACCAGATTGTCGGTAGTAGTCTCGCCGGAGTGGAACCGATTTCCACAACATCTCAATCTCCCAACCGCGACGATAAGGATGACGATGACGACCAGGATTCCGGCCTCAACCGCCGCAGATCAACGCTCAAGCCCCTTGATACTCTTCATTCCAACAGACTTGACGCCTCTATTACCTCCGACCTGATCTCTCCCCGGCCCTTCACCCCCTTGAATCTCAGCAACCCGGACGACCCTTCATCTCTCCCTAGCAGTCCCAAATCTACTTCGAACCAATCTATGCGCCACCTAGATGAGATCTCTATCACAGACGACTTGAGTAGTCAGGCGGTTGCCTCCGGAGATGAAGACAATGATTCTCGATCTGTCCACAACCCAGACCACGATAGCACATCCCAATTCATCATGCCAAGCATCAAGATGCCTAGTCGGAGACCGTTCACATCTCGTGGGAAGTCACTTGGAAGGTTTAAAATACTCGTTGCAGGCGATTCTGGTGAGCCCTTCTTATCTTCAATCTTGTAGGGTCTGTGATCCTGCAGAGTGCGTGCTGACCGATGCTCCAGGCTCTGGGAAATCATCGCTCATTAGGTCGATCGTTCAGGCTTGCGAAGACATTGTACATGTAGACGACTTTCCGCCTACCGATGCCTTGACACCGTCACGGACTTCTCTTACGACGATTCAACTTTCTCAAGCCCATCGACTACCGTTGTCAGCTACATCAGAAATCTACGCCAGCACCAAGCCCTACCCATCTTGGTGGTCAGATTTGGAAGATTCACGCGTGCTGCGCCGTAGGAGAAGTACAGGTGATGTGGTCTTAGAGCGAAATATTTGCTTCGTTGATACCCCTGCAACCTCGCTGAGTCGCATCGGACAAGTGGATGCTATCATACAATATATACGTCAACAACTATCCCGCGCAACAACAGCTATTGATTCCTGCGATCACGACTTCCAAAATTTGCTCGCAGGGCAGGGTGGCACCCAAGTTGATGCTGTACTTTATCTCGTTTCTGGTGGTATGTAGTCCGAGCTTTTGGTTAGTCCACTCCCGTTGATGATACGAGCTCACCTTGCATCAGATACTTTTGCGGCAGACATGGAATGCATCAACACGCTATGCGAATGGACCAATGTCATTCCTCTAATATCCAAGGCTGACTTGTTGGCTCCGGAGCAGATCTCTGCAATTAAGTCGGGGTTCCACAAGCATACACAAGCCACTCCGGCCAAGCCCTTCCTTTTTGGAAACGCAGGTCTTGGAGCAGATGATCTTGACGGACAATTGCCTTTTGCGGTATCATCGGCAAAAACCAGTGATGACGATGTTATGGATGCCAGTACTTTGATGAGCCCTGACTATGTCCAACCCCTGGTGCCCTCTGAATTGACTTTGCTGGTCCAGAGGTTGTTCGACGCCGAGAATATGACTTGGATGCGGCACTCAGCTGCAAAGAAACTAGCCCAGCAGCAACGAGCGCATCTCTGGCAACGCCCGAATCGCCCCCAACCTAGTACACAACCATTTTACCCTGGCTCAAGCCGGGGCTCTCCCAGCTACACTATGGCTCGGATAGCAGATCACACGCGCCAGGAGGAGAAAATGGCCCGTTTGCAATTGGCGAAGTGGGCATCTGAGTTGCAGCAAAGCCTTAAAAACGAACGCGAGAGATACGCTGCCATGGCCAGGGGTGAGCGTGCCGTCTGGCTCACAGAACGGTTAGGCGAGTGCGTAGTCGACGGGTCTTTGGTCCCCATTACACAAACGCCAGGCTTTTGCGGACTCCGTGCTCCTTTGGAGAAAGCAAGCGGGGGCAGTCTACTTGTTCGAGCACAAAGTGGGCAGAATGTGGAATATCACCTTGCCCGAATTCGCCCGCAAGACCCTCTGGGACTTGTTTGGTTGTCCGAGGACCTTAAGCGGCGGGGCTGGGCCATTGTTCAGATTGTGGGCTCCTTTGGAGTTGTCGGGGGGCTGGCTCTTTGGCTTGCCAAAGCATGGGGTCTATCCTCGCGCAGTCTGTCTGAATGGCACTTTGACTGGTGCGGATCGACTGATTAAGTGAACCAGCCTTACTCATTAGGGTGGGCACTTTCTTCTCTTGTATCCCCCTACCCTCCCTTTCTACTCTACTATTTCCCATGATCTCCTCTCAATCATCTACGAGAGCGGCGAGACATAAGTTCTTGGGGCAACAGGCGTCAACTGGATTGACTCGCATGCAAGCAAACCCCGGCGTTACCACAGACAAGTTTCTATTTTCCCACATTTTTCCTCTCTCTCTCTCTTTCATCGTTTTCCCATCCTATTCCATCCACCCATACTCCTTTCTGGCGCTTTCCCATTGCATACAATTTCCCCTCAAGTCACATTTAATGAAGATATGTGCACAATGTACTCATGAACCACAACACAAGTCACCGGGGAGTCCAGGTGTTCAGTCCCTTCATCCGTGTACCCCCTCGCTTGATCAAATTCCCTTATGGTAGCTTACAGTCAATTGACTCGTCATATGGACAAACCGGGATGTTTCCATTTTTCCAGGCATTGCAGAAGTAGACACACATGCATAACTCTTTGAAGTATTATTTACTAGTAATCTAGCTGGATCAACCCCAATAATAATAATAATAATAACATAAAAAACAACAGATTTAACTACTACCAGCAGTAGTAACAATAACTACAATCTACATATATATATATACATCATAGTAAAGAATAAATAAATAAATAATTATGTCAAACCGTCTCGTATCCCTACTATAGTTACTATACTAGTAACTAGTTAGTACTCACTCATTAGTAAGTTCTTCTTCCCCCTCCGGCACAATCCCATCATAGAAATGAATCCATATTCCATCATATCAAAGTGAAGTAAAGGCTACTTATACATATAGTATGTTATGTATGCAATGTACCTACCCACTAGTAACTGAACTAATACTACTAGTACTTACTCTTTGTTTTAATACTGTCGATATATACTAACTAATCAATTAGCAAACTTAGTCAAGCCGAGACAGCAAATTGACCTGATCTGACTTGACTTTGACTGACGTTCTCCTGTTTCATGGTGCTGCTCATTTTATGCTATAGATAGCTACTATAGCGGTCATAAGAGCATCACCTAGGGATTAATGAATGAAGATGACCAGTGACTTCATGAATCGATCATCATGTATGTATGTAGGTAGATATGTCATTTGGGAAGAGTTACCAGGAAACAATAACTACAGTGATAGATAATACTGCCATATTATACTACGACCTATGTTGAGAGCATCAAGTTGAACAGAGAAAGCTTTTATTCTCGAGATAAAATCTACCGTACTAATACCACAAGCGGATCAGACGGAATGTATTTAGGGTGGGGGCAATAAACGCTCAAAACGCCGAAAAAAAAAAGGGTAGAATTCGTGATTCAGTAATTAAAAAGGAAAAAGGATCAAAGGAAAACCATCCTTTGCCGTTCCGATTAATAACGCAATATCGTTCAGTGAATATTAGATCCCTGATGCAAATACCGCTGGAACAGTTTCCGGGTCATCACAAAAAAAAAATCAGTTACATCTCATTTCCATTTTGCTCGAAAAGAAGATCGTGACATCATGCGGTCAACATTTAGTCAACCTCCTCCATGGAGCTCTCGGCGGCAGCGGCGGCAGGGGCAGCCTCCTCAGCAGCCTTCTCCTCGGTGGTCTCAGCCTCCTCGTCGATGTTCAGACCAAGGGAGACGAGCTTGTGGATACGCTCAGCGAAGCTGGCGGGCTCCTCAATGGTGAAACCGGAGACCAGGAGGGAGGTCTCGAAGAGCAGCTGAGTGATGGACTTGACGGTGCGGTCACCCTCGCCATCGGCCTCAACCTTCTTGCGGAGCTCCTTGATGATAGAGGACTTGGGAGAGATCTCGAAAGTCTTCTTGGAGGACATGTAAGAGCTCATGGAGGTGTCACGGAGGGCCTGGGCCTTCATGATACGCTCCATGTTAGCGGACCAACCGAACTGGCCGGTACGGATGGCGCAAGGAGAGCCAACGAGCTTGTGAGAGACAACGACCTTCTCGACCTTGTCGCCGAGGATGTTCTTGAGGCTCTTGGCGAGACCCTCGAACTCCTTCTCCTCCTTCTCGCGCTCGGCCTTCTCCTCCTCGGACTCCTCAAGCTCGAAGTCCTTGGTGATGTCGACCAGCTTCTTGCCGTCGAACTCCTTCAGCTGAGTGAAAGCGTACTCGTCAATGGGGTCAACCAGGAACAGAACCTCGAAGTTCTTCTGCTTGAGGCTGTCAAGGAAGGGAGACTTGGCAACGGCCTTGATGGACTCGCCGGTGATGTAGTAGATCTGCTTCTGGTGCTCGGGCATACGGGTGACGTAGTCGGCAAGAGAAGTAGCCTCATCACCAGACTTGGTGGACTGGTAGCGGAGGAGCTTGGCCAGAGTGGGGCGGTTCTGGGCGTCCTCGTGGATACCGAGCTTGATGTTCTTGCTGAAGGCAGAGTAGAACTTGTCGAACTGCTCGCGGTCCTCAGCGATCTCGGTGAAGAGCTCAAGAACCTTCTTGACGATGTTCTTCTTGATGACCTTCATGATCTTGTTCTGCTGGAGAGTCTCACGGGACAGGTTGAGAGGAAGGTCCTCAGAGTCGACAACACCCTTGACGAAGCTGAGCCACTCGGGGATGAGGTCAGTGGCGTCATCAGTGATGAAGACACGGCGGACGTAGAGCTTGATGTTGTTCTTGGTCTTCTTCGACTCGAACAGGTCGAAGGGAGCACGCTTGGGGACGTAGAGGATGGCACGGAACTCGAGCTGACCCTCGACGGAGAAGTGCTTGACGGCCAAGTGGTCCTCCCAGTCGTTGGAGAGGGACTTGTAGAAGGCAGCGTACTCCTCCTGGGTGATGTCGGCGGGGTTACGAGTCCAGATGGGCTTGGTCTTGTTAAGCTCCTCCTCCTCGATCTTGCTCTCCTTGACGGTCTTGGTCTTCTTCTCCTTCTTCTCCTCCTCCTCATCGACCTCCTCGATCTTGGGCTTCTTCTCGTCACCCTCTTCCTCCTCCTTGGTCTCAGCCTCCTCATCGGGGACCTCCTTCTCGGTCTCCTTCAGGACGTGGAGGTAGATGGGGTAGGAGATGAACTCGGAGTGCTTGCGGACAACCTCCTTGATACGGCTCTCGTTGAGGTAGTCGGTCTGCTCATCCTTCAGGTGGAGGATGATCTTGGTACCACGACCAAGCTGCTCACCCTCGGTGTCCTGGGTGAGGGTGAAAGTACCACCGGCAGCAGACTCCCAGATGTACTGCTCGTCATCGTTGTGCTTGGAGATGACGGTGACACGGTCGGCCACAAGGTAGGCAGAGTAGAAACCAACACCGAACTGACCGATCATGGAGATATCAGCACCAGCGGAGAGAGCCTCCATGAACTGCTTGGTACCAGAGCGAGCAATGGTACCGAGGTTGTTGATGAGGTCCTAAAAGAAGTCTATAGTCAGAATTTACTCTAAACTTGGAACGTCTGCTGCCCAATGGCAGAGAAAAGAATAGGGAGTAATGGTAATTGGAAAAAACTTACAGCCTTGGTCATACCGATACCGGTATCACGGATGGTGAGGGTCTTGGCCTCAGCGTTGGGGATCAGGTCGATGCGGAGATCCTTGCCCGAGTCGAGCTTGGAGGGGTCGGACAGGGACTCATAGCGAATCTTGTCCAGAGCATCGGAGGCGTTGGAGATCAGCTCACGCAGGAAGATCTCCTTGTTGGAGTAGACAGTGTTGATGATGAGGGAGAGGAGCTGAGAGATCTCAGCCTGGAACTCGAAAGTCTCGGCAGACATGGTGGCGGTAGGAGGAGAGAGACTGGTTTCTGAAGGAGGGGTAGGGATGTCAGTAAAACGGAAGGGAAGGTAGAGGAAGCGAAATGACGAGCTCCTCCAGATAAGATTCTGAAGTGGAGAAGGAGAGAAGTGGGTGAAAACGGAAGGGGAATTGGAAGACTCTTTATATTTGTTGACAAAGAGGGAAGGAAGGCAAGAAAAGGGCAGAAATTTCTAGAAATTCTGTCTTGCCTCCCGCTCTGAGCCAAGTTTGCACGCAAACGATAGTGGCTGAGTCAGAGAGCTCCAAGGTGGGGAGAGGGAAGTATAACTAGTACTGACCTAAAACGGATTGAAAGGTGGAGAGGTAGTGTTGAAGAGGGTAATGGGAGAATTAAGTCACGGATCACAAAATGGGAGGATAGGAGGATTAAGAACTGCCCACGAGGTGACAGAGAGACAAAGGGAGATGGAGAGAAAGAGAGAGAGAGGGAAGAGTGATTAGAGAGTTAGGATGGAGAGGAAGAGAAGAATGAGAAAAAAATAGCTGGTGAACCGAAGGGAACAGGCGACGGGGCGGGACCTTAATGTTCTTTGGGCGGACCGTCACAAAATTTCAGTGCGGCGTTTCTACGGCGATCCAGCAACTTCCACCGATTCCATGCTGCTCCTCCAGCTACTGTCGACTCTCCCAAGCTTCTCCCCCCAGGATGTTCCAGCGCCTTCCAGCTGCGGGATCTAGATGCTTCTGCCCACACCGTGTCAGGCACTAACCAGCCCTGTTTCTTCCCCTTTGCTCGGCACCTGCCACCCCCCTACTGGTTGGAGGGTTCAGTGGTTATGCTCCATTGAGTAACTTATCTAGTATAGTAAGAAGCCCATGGAATTCCCCGATCCGATATGCTTGGGGGGGGACTTCCCCAGATGTCTTCCTGCTTCTTTTGCTGGCGATAACTTCCGGGGGGCGATCTGGCTGCCTGAGGCCCACTATCTAGAACGTTCCGCTCTTTCCATCTCCCTCCCTCTTCCCTTCCCCTCCATTCCCCCATTCCCAGCCAATCCCGAGCTGCTATCACTCTGACCGCTTTGTGTGCTTTCATAGTAACCAATGTTACCACGGCTACCATCAATTACTACATACAGTACTTCACTGTATGTGTCATTTCAGTTCAGGCATGCCCTCTGGAAGTACTCTGTACCCACACAGTAGTTGACCTGAAGAACTAACTATTCACTACCTGAGTCATTGACTCATTCCCCCACTGGACCCCCTCCAACCTTGCTTGCTGTGTCTACACTACTTGCGCCAGCTGGGGACCTTGAGCACCCTTTATCGCACCTTGATTACGGTCATTCTACAACATACAAGGCGTCCAAGTCATTAGCGAGATTTCTGTGTTTGATTGTTTTCTGTAGATGTCTTCAATCTTTTTTTCTTGTATCCGTTTTGCTCCATTGTGGTTGCACAATTTGCAACAACATCATCCTGAGCCAACACCGCTCGCTACTACCCACCGCCCTGTAGCCTTTGAACCTCCCCGGAGTGCTAGCCCCCGAAGAAAGTACGGCACACAACTGAGAGACGTAGTAATGAAGAAATATTCCAGCAAGAAGCCATCCATTTACACTCCTCAAAACATGACGAGGCCGCAAATAAAAAAACAATGAACCAGAAGCCAGGGAAAGAAGTGTAACTAAGCAGGAGCCAGGACTAAGAAGCCAGAGATGGACTGCGACGGTCGTCAACATGGTAGGAGAGAAAAGAAAAGAAAAATAATGATAATGGGAGGTCAAAAGCCACCAGACATCAGAGATGAAAGAAATATGGGCATTCAGCTCGCTATGCTAAGAAGATAAGGAGCCATCAAAGAGCTAGAGAAAAATAAAGAGGTCATGGCAACACAGGAAGAGGAAACCAAAGTCATGATGACGACCAAGCAAAGCCCAGTGAGAAGATGATAAGAAAACTTTTCCAACCGCTAATATGCACTGTGACAAGAGGGCCACATAACACATGTCATTATCAAGTAAAGGGGGAGAGTAATACATGTCCTGGATCGCCGTGAGCATCTAAACCCGTATACCGTCTCAAGCCAGGAGGAAGGGCTAGGAATCATATAAGGCTTTGTAAAGGGAGGGGGGGGGGGGGGAAGAAAAAGGAAAGAATGGGATTAGAACGAAGCGGTCAAGGTTCACTGAAATGACCACCGCTTACGTTCGCTCGTCGTTCTTCGTTAGACGTCAAGAGGTACTTTTTGTATGTAAAGGTGCTTAAGCAGCCTGGGCCTGGTTGCGACCCTTGGCGTTGACGTTGCCGCCACGGCCACGGGGGGCAAAGCCTCCGCGACCCTCGCGCTGGAAGCCTCCCCGGCCCTGGCTGCCCGCACGGTCACCACGACCACGACCGGCGCCACCGCGGCCCGCACCGTAGCTACCGTTACCGAAGGCATTGGTACGAGGGCGACGCTCCTCCACGTAGATCTGCTCGGATCCAATCTGGTGGGGGTTGGCAGCGACAGCGGCAGCATAGCCCGCGGCATCACTGAATTCGACAAAGGCGCAGTTCTGGACGCAAGGTTAGCTTTTCCTTCTCTGTTCTGGATTACGGGTGGGTTAAGAGGTGACATACCTTAGCACGGCTCACATCGAAGTGCTTCAGCTTGCCAAAGCGAGACAGGGTCTGCTTGAGCAAGCTCGCATCAACCTTCTCGGTGACGTTCTTGATGTAAGCGAGAACATTCTCCTCACCCGCACGGGACTGGGTCTTCTTGTGATCATGGCCCGCAGTCTGCCAGCCAGAACCATCAGTCGATGAAGGTTGGCTGGACGCGGTTTCGGGAGCGGCAGCGGCCGCGGGAGCAGGAGCAGCGGCGGGGGCGGGGGCGGGAGCCGTGGACTGAGCAGCGCTGGCAGCGGGAGCAGGCTTCACCGGAGCAGCGGGAACAGCGGGAACAACAGGGGCCGAGGCACCAGACTTGGAGGCGATGTTGGCCCAGGTCTTAGGGACCGCCCTGGCGGGAGCACTCTCCTTGACCGGAGCAGGAGCTTCCTTCTGCTCGGGCACAGGGGTGGGCTCGGGAGTAGCGGGCTTCTCAGCCTTGGGGGCCTCAGTCTCAACCGGGGCAGCAGCTTCCGGAGCAGCTTCGACAGGGGTTTCCTCAGCCGCGGTTCCATTGGTCTGGGGAGCTTCCTCCTGGGCAGGCTTGGCCTCAGCAGTCTGCTCGGCCTCCTCGAGCTTCTCGTCAACCTTAGCCGCGGCAGGCTCACTGTCTACCTGGGCCTTCTCGGGCTCCGGGACAGTCTCCGCTGCAGGCTGTGCAGGCTCTTCAGCAGCCGGCTCCTCAACCGGGGCAGCAGGGGCAGCAGGAGCAGCTTCTTCTTGCTCAATCTCCTCCTCATCGACAAGGTACCGGAAGATGTCGTTGAGGACATAGTAACCGTTGGGCTGTTCGGCCAGCACGAAAGTCTGCACAAACTTGCGGGAAGGCTCGGACCGGTTCGAGATCTCGCCAATCACAGAGATCAGGATGTTATCGAATGAGGCCTGAGAGTCGACGTTCAAGACACGGACCTTGCAGTCTTGGAAGTCAAGCTGCTTGATCTTGTCATTGATAGCCTATAATATAACGAGGATGTCAGCATATTAGACCTATTAGACAGAACTAGATCCCATGGAGTTGAGATATCAACACGCACCTTCTGGCCCACAGCAACCTGGACGGTTTCAGCTTCGGTACCGAAAACAAGCTGAGAACGCCGAGAGTAGAAGAGGTGAAGCTTCTCCGGACTGCGGCTCATGTTGGTATAGTACTGCTCCACGAAGTACCAGCCAACCTCATCCTTCGAGATACCATTCTTCTGGTCATTTGCGGGGGCGTTCGAGGGAGTAGAGGAGGGCGCAGGCTGGAAGCTGGCCGCGCTGTTGACGTTTGCGGGGGCGTGGGTGAAGGTGTCGGGGTAAGCGTGTTGCGCAGGGTAGCCGCCGTTCATAGGAGCCTGGGTCGTGTCGGCCATTGTGAAATGAATGAAACTTGGAGGCTCGAGAAAAAGAAAGAGAAAAGTCTAAGAGAGAAAGGCCAAGCAAAAGGATATGCTGGATAGGATGCGAGGCTTGATGCGACGAGGTAAGGGAAAAAATTCTAGTAAGAAATATTCCCCGATACTGGTATTGTCAGTGCTTTTGAAGCTTGGACGTATATGGCCATGGCAGAGAGATCCGGGCCACGATTGCAGGTGAAAAAGAAGGACTTACAACGTGAAATGTGCGAACAAATTGCTCCCCGAAGGCGCAATGAAGTGAATCAAAAAGAAAAGAAAAGATCAATGAAAGGTAAGAAGGTGGCGCGTCGGAGTCGTCGAGGTTGAATAACAGAAAGAACCTTGTGCGATTCCGGAATTGAGTGTGCGAGGGAAAAGCCCGAGGCAACAGATTCGGGAGGGAAAAAGCACGGGGACGAAGAGAGACGGAGCTTGTTTCAAGAGACAAAGAGGTGGGAGCAGATGAAAAACAGGCTGAGGATAATAATTGCAAGGAAATACGAAGAGGAAGATGTGGTGTTTGGTGTATATGTGGAGGGTGAGGGGGGGTGGTAAGTAGTGTGTGTGTGTGTGGTTGAAGAATGGTGAGGGAAGTTAAGTTTGGGGGAGTGTGGTAAGTAACAGCTAGTAGTAACAGGGTGGACGGAGAGACACGAGAGGTTGCTGAGAGCAGCAGCGCAGAGACAGAGAGACAGAGAGAGAGCCGACTTTGAGGTGAAGGGCCAGTCAAGCCGTTCGTTTTTGCTGGTGCAAAATCCAGCCGAACCCAGAAGTGTCCGGCGCTAGTCTTCAATGGGACATATCGCGCTTGGCCGCGAGCTCACCGCCTGCTACTTCTGGCTGATATGATTCACGGGCGCATCTCGTCGATCGACTGGACGACCGCGATCAGTGACAAAATGTGGCAGCGGTGGTGGCAATATTGGGGCGGAATAAGACCAATTACTTCAATCGGTCAGATATACAGATGATAGGACCTAAGTCTACATAGAATCATGGGGCTAGCACTCAGTAGTAGTAGTACATAACCTGTAAACGAAATCGCTGTCGCATCTGTGTTGATGACGCAGTGAAACAATGCGGTAGGCCAATCCATTTGCCATCCATGATATCAGCATGCGGTGGATTCAATCGCCCCCGAACAGACCCGTTCATTGGCGATGATGTTGGACCCTCAACCGATAGCTGTTCTACTACCATTTACGATGCACAGCCTGTAATACGAAGCACTCTTTCTTCGCCATGTCTCGTAGAATGTATCGGGGTTCAAATTCTTGCTTGTTTCCTATTTCAAAATGTAGACAATACACAGTCTAGAGAGCTGTGTACAACATAGCCCACTGGCAGATCTCGGATTCGTATACCCAATCATCGGCGTGCTCCTTTGTTATATAGCAAACGGAACCGACACAATACCACACCCCTCATAAACATCACAGAATTAATCCCAGTAATCAGATAAGTAGATGGCTATCAGACAGTAGATTAGGGTTGGTACTCGCAGCGAAATCGCATCAAATCAAAAGTAGATAGCTGGCTCAGAAGGGGGGTATGATAGACAGGTAAAGATAAGCTTCTCATCAAGACGGGTATCGAACTCGGTCATAGAACCCGCCGCAGGGGAAATCTGGCAAGCCGGGAAAACATGCAACATTAGAACAGCCGTGGCCCAGGTGGCCATGGGGACAGGGAGCAAAAGGTCCAGGAGTAAGGTATCAAAATGCAACTTTCGGTCAACACCACACGACACGTCTGCAACAACTCATGGGGCTTCCACCACCGCTTTTTCGTTCAGCACGGGTTCTCGCATGACAGCGTCCTGGCTGGTCATTCTACGTCCAAGGGCGCGCTCCACCTTGGCACCCAATGCCAACTTGCTCAAGTTATCGGTCTTCTCCGGAGTGGGAACGAAACGTTGCTTCAGAAGGGGCTTGTTTTCCAGGCGCTCCAGCCCATCACGGAGATTGTGGAAATCGGCCAGTCTGGGGTCTCCGGCCGGCAGACCTGCAAAGGTGGTTTCCGACGAGGCGACCGTAGGGGCTTCGCTGACAGTCGAGAACCGCTTGGAGGTGCGTGCCTATGATCGAATCAGACGGAAATGCGACGGCGAAAAGTACGTGGATATCGCATGGAGTCCATGTAGACTTACCGACTGGGCCATGATGGGTCTCTCAGATTCTAGCGATGTATGTCTAGCCATGTCCACTATGGTGGTAGGATGCGGTGGGTCGTATATTGCGTGCAGCTCCAAGCCTGTGCAGAAGAGTGGAACAACAAAAGGCTGCGAGGCTTACAGGTAGACCGTACGTAACCTGTAAGATGGAATTGTACCCCGGTCAGCGAAGCGAGAACTTAAAGAGGTGCGGATATCAAAGGAACGACTGCAGCAGGACCGAAGAAACACGAAATCCAGACAAGCAGACGGAAAGTCCACAGTCGAGAAAATAAAGGAGGGAATAAAGGGAAGGCAAGGTATCAATAACTAATCGGGAAGTTTTTTTTTTCTGAGAGAATGATCCCAACGAGTGGTTCAAGACACTTGATTGAGCCGGGATCAGCAGGGCTGGAGAGAAGAGGGGTTCTCACCTTGGGGCAGTCAATTACTTCCAGGGTCTGTACGCGATCAGTATAGATCAGAAGAGATATCTGACGGGGGCAAAATCAAAAGAAGAGAAAAGAGTAAGGGTAAGAGTAAGAGCAAGAACGAGGTTGTTGATGAGAGTGTAGGACTGCGCGCAGCCGTGCCATGCATTCAACTCAGGAGAGGCCGGGGGCGAAGGAGGCGGATGGGGTGGGTCACCGGCAGGCGCCAAAACGCAATACTGATAAAATCTTCTTCCTCGTCGACGGTCGGAAAGGATTGGAGAGGGGGTTGTCGTTTGGACGGCTTTTTAAGGTTTTCCTGTCCTGATTCTCTCTACGATCCCCTCCTTTGCCCAGATCTGTATTTTGTCTTCGTGGTGAAGGGAACTTTGTTGGTTAACTGACACGAGAGATAGATAGAGTTGATAGTGGTGAGGTACATACTAGTATGGTTACAAGCCCGTTTTTCTCATGCTTCTCCAGTAAATTTAGTGTCTAGTGCAGTGGTCGGCAGGGACAAAAAGATGGGTATGCGACCCATTTGGAGGCCGGCTAAACCATCGCAGGCAGCCTGAGACACCGGACTCTGTTGGGACTGTCGGCGGCAGACACGAGCGCCATCACCAAACAGGGATGCTTGCGCGCCCGACGGATTGATCGTCATGCTCTTGAAATTACTCGGAGTATACTTGAGGGATTTGACGATCGGCTGGCTGAAAGTAGCAGACCAAACGGAGTAGATGCATCATACCATATTAGCTACCCCTATTCCCAGGTACGTAAAGAGGTAGTGATTAAGTAGTCATCATGTACCAGTTTAGGCCTGCAAACTAAATTAGAGATGGCTTGCTGCACACGTTCTTGATTCATTTTTCAGACTGAAAGAACCAAGTCTCTCTTACAATGCCACAGATGGTACCCTAGCTATATCTATACACCACTAGTTCGTAGTTAAATCAGCGGGAATTCCACCACTAGGAGGATTATTGACTCCAATTAGTTATGAAAACTAAGTAGGTAAGTAACTACTTACTTTACTGGAACTGTAAGAGTGTTCAGGCCCTTCCCGGCCAGGCCCGCCACGTGCGGGCAAGTGGGCAGCCACGCGGATCCGATGATGGCAGCAGCAGCAACGCATCCATCATTCTTCATCCACCAAGCGGCCCCCATTTCCTTGGTCCTTGAACCCCAGCAAACCTTCTTTACTCCCTCCGCCTACTCCCGGTTCTTCCGTGCCGACTTACTCAATAGTGGTTGGCATACAATAACATGTGATGTATTATGAAATTCCTTGTTTCTTGTCTTGTCTTGAGCAGTAAGAAGACTGGCTGGTAAGACTGCAAACGATGCAAGACATGCATGATTGATTGATTGCTCCTTCCCGTCTGAAGGATCTTCAATATGCACGACATCGCTGCCGGTTGTTGAAGGGAAAAGGGCGAATATCATTTTTTGTTTGGCCAGACGTACGGGATTTGCTTGCACACTATCACTCTGGCTGACTTGCATTGGAGCGGGAGTGCTTCTCCGACAGTGAATTTCCGTGTAGGGCAGTCCACTCAGCATACTACCTTAGTGGACTAGACTAGGTGCTGACCGCTCATAGTATCAGTTGATAAGCCCGTTGTTTTATAGTTCTGATAGCTAGATAGAATCTCATCTTATCTATATGAATTTTTTGGCCACTTAATTTATCTTCAATCTGTCAAAAGTACTATATTTCTTATTATATGGGGATTACTTCCTACTAGTAATCTCAAAGCGGGCGCTAAGGCGGTATCTCCGGAACGCCGGCATTATGGAGCTACCCCTCGTCTTTCTTATTTTCGAAAAAAACATCGCAGGACGTCATCATATACTTTGTTGATTTTGCAGCTTCCCATTTGATACACTTATTGTGACCCAACATCCACCGTGCTTTATAATTATTGCGCCGAGGAGTTTATTCATAGGAAAACTCTGGCCGCATCTGAACGTTAACAATGCCCAAGCCAAAGTCTTTCCTCAAAGACACCAAGCCTAATAAGAAAAAGGCGACACAGCGGGTATGCTCAATTGACCCTTCGACCGCGAGTAGCTACTCTCCCTCTAACTCTACTGCCTAGGCCCCAGAAACCGCAGATGAATACCTAGCCCGTGAGTCACCCAGCATCAGAACTAAATTATGTTCATTTGGTCAATCGCCTGTCATATATTGCCGTCTAGCTAACCAAGAGGTTCCAGTCGGTGTCGAACAGGAAGAGGCCGGAGAGAAATGGCGCGCCGGAGATGCAGCCAAATCCCTGCGCTTCTTCATGCGCGCCATCAATACCTATGACGAAGGCTTGAGCAAACATCCCACTGCTTTTGATTTGGCATATAACAAGTACGTCATACGCCATCCGATTTCATTCTTGCTCTACTACTCATTCTGGCCGCGTCCATCAGTAAGTTACCTTAGGTACTGACGTCTATAGAGCGAGAGTTCAATATGAAATCACACAACACCCCAGACTTGCTGCTCAACTGTCTGCACCGCTATTGGACGTACTGCGAGTAGCGCTTGATTCTCACAGAGCTGCGCTTGACCTGGAGCAAGACAATGCAGATGCGCTCTTCAACACAGCCCAAGTACTCACCAGCATTGCCGAGGCCTTGACCGAAGCCAAACGTCCATCGGATGACCGGCTCTCCCAGGCAGTGAAGCTTTTGCAAGAAGCCATAGAACTCTTCCAACGCTGCCTGACTGTACAGGAACTCAAGTACACCGAAATGCAGGAGCAGATCAACCAGATGACGTCCGGCGAGACAGACCCTGCTGAAACACAGATGGAAGATACACCGCCAGAACTGCCACCTGCGGACGATTCAAAGTCTTCAGACCAGCAAGAACAATGGGCTGCTATTGTTGAGCCCGTGACCAAGGACACACTCGTCGATACTGCTGTGGCACAGCTAGATGCCATCACAAACCTCTGTAACCTACTCACGTTTAACCCTGAAGTAGGAGTCACTTGGGTCGAAGAGTATTCATCCGAGCAGCTGCAGAAACGAATCTCGGCATATGTCGAGGGGTCAAACAGGCACTACGAGGCCACTCTGGCTCGTGCCAAGTTCGCCTGCGCCCTGAATGAAGTCCTGTACAGAAGCGGACGGACTGAAGTTGGAACATACTCTGAAGAAGTCTCGCGAGCTTTCGGTCCTGAGCTGGATCTATCAAACGATCCGGATGGCTTGTGCAGCAAAGCCGATGCGCTCACTTCTTTCAACACGGCGCTCACAGATCTCCCTCCGTATGAGCCGGAGGCCTTTGGGAAAGCGCTGTCACTTCGATGGCAATCACTGTCCGCTGCCTTGGACGCACTGAGCAAAGCGTCCAAACTCCCCACTGCTGAAAACTTGCCAAAGATTCATCTGGCTAGGGGAGACGTGGAGATGGGTAGGTGGAGGCTTGGCTTGGCTCCATGGGATTATAACATGGCCCGAGATAACGCAGCTACACTGCTGCGCAACGCCCAGACTTATTACCGCGGTGCAGCAGCCTTGGCAAAGAGGGACAGTGCTGCGGACGAGGAACGAGATGGAACCTGCAAGGAGGCCATCGCTGCTGCACTAGCAGGCCAAAAGGACAAACTCCACCAGCTCCGCAAAGCTGCGCCGAAGGAACTTATGCTCGTCGCGGAGGACGTGGTCGAAGAGGGATGGATGGGTCCTGGCGATATGGAGATACTGTTGTCGTAGTTATACTATACCCCGGCCCATTCAAACGTTGAAAGGGAAGCCTGTCCCCGCCATTGTAGAAATCGCAAGCCACCAGATCAGATCTCGGATCTAGCCTTAACCTCTCCATCCATCTGCGCAGCTTCTTGTCGAAGCTGATGCTCACTCGTAAACTGCGTCGTTGCGGCCGCAGCACCCTCCAAATCAGCAACCACAGCCTCCAACCCGGACAACAAACTCTCGATCTCAGACCTCTGCGCCTGGACCTTCCCGGCCAACTCCGCATTCTGATTCTGTACCGAATTAATCTTGGCATCCAAATCCGCCTGCGTCTCCATCAAATGCGGCAACAAATGCGCTTTGTACAATTCCTCCGGACTCAACGTATGCGGCCTATCAACAAACCAGTTAGCCATCCATCATCCACTCCTCCCCCGCCCAATCCAACAATACCAAAAAGCAACAAACAAAAGTGCTTTTAAAAAAAGGGGGGAAACATACGCAACACTATCCCCACCAACCCCTCTCTCCTTCCTAACCCTCGCTTCGCCAACCAACCGATCCAACTCATTCAACTGCCTAATAGCATCCCTCTCCGCCAAAATATCCTCGAACTCAGCCTTGGCACTCTCCTCCAACTTCGCATTCAACTGTCTCCACACACTCTCCAAACTAGCCGGGACATGTTTCGCCGGCGTCGGAAAACACCCGCTGAAATTCGCGTACGAGTTTGCGCGCAGTGTGCGTGCCAGCGCCTTGTCGAAGATCTCTTGGAGTTTGGACGCGCGCGGGCCGGGTGTTAGGGGGACTGGCGCGGGAGGGGGTGGTGAGGGCGAGGCGCCTGGTCTTTGTGTGGTGGGTTCGGTGGACATGGTTTGGTTTATATCGTTCGTTCGTTCGTTCGTCGGTTGGGTTAGGCGGGGTTGAGGTAGGTAGGTACTTGGGGAGTTCGATCGGGGGGTGTAGAGTTTCGTGATGTTAAGCCTTGAGGTAAGGTTCGTTTCGGGCTCCTTTGGGTCGTTGTTGTTGTTTTGTGGTTGTAGGATTAAGTATGGAGATTGGTTGATCGATTGAGGGGGATTGGGGAGACGCGCCGGGAGACGCGCGACTACTATGTATCACGTGATTGGTATAGATCTGGGTAGATGGGGCCGGGTACCCTATATGTATCGCAGGATTAAGGTACCTATTTAGTAAAATTTGTGGGGTTCTATATGTGTTTGGTGCTTGAATTAGATTCAAAAGAGTTATAGTGGTCTTTTGCTATGTTGCGGTTGCGCTGGATGTATGAAGAGCTGGAATTGGTTACTGTATATGTTGTAGGGCTCTATAGGGAACTAGTCAATGAAGGCTCGCCAGAAACAAACCATGTCTGCAGCAAATATTACAGATATTCGCTGCTGCCCCTACAAGTATAAATCTTTAAGACAGGCAAGGTAATTGATAAGCGAACGTTAAGTATCATGATCAAGTTTATCTACGAAATGCCATCGGCCATATGCACCGCAAAGAAAGAGAAAACAGAAAGAATCATTTGAATGTCCTCTTAGGAGTCAAACGCCGCGCTCTCCCCATTCTAAAACCGAATCCGTTGCTCGTCAAGCCTTCCACGAAGGGGGCAGATGAACGAAAGCCAAGGTAAACGAAAGGCTGTACATGATGAAAACGAACTAGAAGGAAAACAAAGACGGATCAATGGAAGAATCTCAGTATGCTTGCTGTTGGGGAACCATGCCGCCATACGCCCCAGCCATCTGTTGCTGCTGCTGCTGTTGCTGCAACTGGGCCTGCAATTGCGGAAGATCGCGGAACCAGGGGTGTACCAGTGCGTCTTGGGCACTGATCCGCATCTCTGGTCGTAGCTGCAGCATCCGACTCAAAAGATCCAGACCTAGGGGGTCGATTTGGGGGAGAATGAGACTTAGGTCCTGAGTGGCATAGACGTGGAAGTTTGGCTTGTACTCCGGGAGCTGGGAGATGCCGGGCCATGAGCGTTCCGAAGGGGTACCCATGAGACGGAAGATCTTGATAAGCTGGTCTTCGTTGGTGGTGCCGGGGAACAGAGGACGGCCGGTGTAGAGTTCGGCCATGATACATCCAGCAGACCAGATGTCGATGCTCGTGTTATATGTGCGGCTGCCCAGAAGTACATCCGGGGCACGGTACCACAAAGTCACGACTTCGTTGGAGAAAGTGTTGACGGGAATGCCAAAGGCACGGGCGAGACCGAAATCTCCAAGTTTGAGTTGTCCCTTCTTATTGATCAGGAGGTTTTGAGGCTTCAGATCGCGGTGGAGGACGCGGTTCTCGTGGCAAAACGCAATGCCCTTGAGAAGCTGGTGCATGAATGATTTGATTGTGGCTTGGTCCAACTGGCCGCGGTCGGCGCGGGTATCCATATACTTCTTCAGATCCTTGTCCATGTACTCAAAGACGAGCATGAGTTTGTTCTCCGTGTGGATCACATCATAGAGCGAGACGATGCTTTCGTGCTTCAGCTCCTTCATCAACGAGATTTCCCGGATGGCGGTAGATGGTGTTCCCTCTTCGGAATCGAGGTGAATCTCTTTCAGGGCAACCAGCTCGCCTGTTTGGCGGTTGCGTCCTTTGAAGACCTGTGTGAGTGTCAGTACATCGTGCGATTTAGAGCATCGGGAGTGCGGAGGGAGGGGTTCGTACGGTGGCATAGGTGCCTTCTCCGAGCTAGAATCAGCAGTTAGCATCACAACTTTCTGTCTGACTGGGTAATCTCTCAGTCTATGGTAGGAAGGCTATCAAAACACACCTTTTCCAGCTGCTGGAAGGAGCTGGGCTGCTGCTTGTCCATGGTGGTTGATGGCGCGACGATGGTACTCTGCGCAGCAGGAGTTGGATGCGAACGAGAGGTGGAGCGCGGAGGATGGAAGAGAAAGGTTTTGGGAGAGGCCAAGTTAGAGATGAGATCCAGATATTCGGAGGTTGGAGGTTGCAATGTCTTGCTTTTTGAGCGGTCGCGACCGTCCATGTCCATGCTGATCTGAACCGGCGAATGCAGAGCCCCGCGCTGGCATCGAACAGCGGACGGGCGGCTGACTGGCCCGCCATCACTTTCTCCTCTCCTCACTCTTGCCTGGCTGGTCTCCACTAGACCGACTAGTATCCCGGCGTCTATTTCATGCCTGTCCCCAACTCGCCGTTGCCAATCAATTTGGCGTGTCTATAATTATCGTTTCTGGACTATTCCATCTGATGAATACTGCTATCTTGAAATAGTAACGTCTCTAAATCTGACTTTTATCGCTGGTTTATACTATACTATGCTGCTTATCTGAACGGGTCATACAGCTCACCGTCATCTATACATCACATCCTCTTCAATCTATACAAGGACACTAATGACGAGTAAGTGAAGGCAGTTGTGCTGCCACAGGGCCTAGAATGTCCTGGGATGGGAGACTGCAACGGACATGCCGGCATACAGCCTCCGTTTCTTGCTCCGCCTTGCTAAAGAGGATCGACTCATTCCGGACACCTCCTATATTGATGATGCCAATCGGCATCCCTCGCTTATAGGCCCGTTCCACTAGGCGCCACGCTGAGTATGTGGCAAGACTACTGCCCAGGACAAGGAGTCTGCCCGCATCGTCGATGGCCTCTTCTGCACCCACCTTGACGGCTGGGTCGATATTCTCTCCAAACATAATGACCGCCGGCTTCAAAATCCCCGCTGTAGAACTTGGAAGCCAAGCCCCATCGCGCTCTACCTCCACACGGGATTGGGACCCGTCCTGCAGCCGGGGTGGCTTTTCCAAGCAGGTTGGACATGCTGGATACCGAAAGGTCGAGTAAGGGGCTTCTGGTAAATCTACATCGCCATCTGGGTTGATTTTCAAGCCCCTCCGTCTCTGTTCCTCAGGATTGTCCGCGTTCAGTGCACCAATATCGACCATTTTCTTGAGAAACTCTGCCCAGGCGGGGTTCAGCCTCTCGAGCGATTGCTGAAATTCGTCCCGTGGGACTTCAGTTCGACAATTAATGCAGACCGCAGAACGCAAGTAGCCGTGGAGTTCGAGAGTGGGTAGCTCGGGATGTGCGACAGAATGGAAGGAGTCGACATTTTGGGTCACCACCGAACTAATATAGCCTTTCGTACCAATGTCTTTTATAGCCCAGTGCGTCGAATTTGGCTTCGCCTTGAGCAGTCCAGGCCATCCAATGAAGCTTCGCGCCCAGTATCGCTTGCGAAACTCATGGCGAGCGACAAACTCGTGGTAGTAGATCGGTCGATACGTCTTGTTTGTGATGTACGTGCCATTCTCACCCCGATAGTCGGATAAGCCTGAAGCTACCGAGATGCCAGCGCCTGTCAAGAGCACCGTCTGGGAATGCCTGCCTACATCAACGCCGCGCAGATGCGGCGACGGAGGGGCCGTCAAAAAGGTCAAGAGCGCATCAATGGCACCTGCGACCGTGCGTGCGGACGGAGGGACAATAATCGGCGGAGGTAGAGGGCCCGTAAAGGGAATCCGAATTGCTGGAGTAGTCATTGAAGCCACATGATTGAGAAATGTTGAAGCTGCAAGAGAATTGCTTCACATGGGCGATGGTTGATGACCGACGTCACGGCTTGACTAATCAATCACATGACGTACACAGTCCCATGGAAGATGAAGTGCATGGTAGGTCTACACGGGGGAAAAATTACTTGACCAGACGGCACTAGACGATCAGAGGACCAGAATAGATCATGCAGGATATTGCGGTCGAGACAAGGAACCAAGTGTCACCAGGAAGAAGAAAAGTGGAAGCAGTCGATCTGAGTGTCCATTCTTGGTCTAGACTGAGAGGAGCTACCCCGGATCGTCCCACGTGATCTGCACCCTTCGCAGACTCTGCGAACGTCATCGCCGGCCATCTGCTTCATTCCATCAACGCGTCTTTGTTTGCTGTCGACCGATTTTGCTTGCCTCTTTCTGTTTAGACTATAGAGTAGAGCATTGATTGGGGAAACGCCCAATCGCTCTCTCGTTCGCACAGCCCGGACATGTTTCCCGCAGTCACCGGCAATATAGATCTAGAGGCACTGAGTGGCATATGTGGGTATGTTTATGCCAGACTAGAGAGAATTGGATGTGTTAATATTGACCACCGACATAGATCCATCTCGATTGCGTGCTGGGTTGTTGTCTTCTCTCCACAGATCATCGAAAATTTCCGTCGCGGCTCAGCTGATGGCCTGTCGCTTCTTTTCCTCATCGTCTGGCTAGCCGGCGATGTGTTCAACATCCTGGGCGCCGTCCTGCAGGGCGTGCTGCCAACCATGATCATTCTCGCGGTATACTACACCCTAGCCGATGTGGTGCTTCTAGCTCAATGCTTCTACTACCGGGGATTCACCCTGCGCGACGAGCCATCCACGCCGCCGCGGCCTGCATCTCCCATCACGACAGATGCCTACGACGAGGACACGGAGATTCCGTCTCCTGTCGTGCCTCGGAAACCCACAGAGCACACCGCGTTGCTTTCCTCCAAACGACGCAGTGCCTCTTACCAGGCTCCTCTGGACACTCGCAGCCCAGCATCATCAGCAACAATCACTCCTCACCACCAACCCTTGCTCGCCCATCGCCGTCACTCCGCCTCTTCGTTCCTTCACACAACCGTCGACGGAACTCACCTCTCCCCAGCGACCCCACTCGTCGAACCAGCCAAGCAACCCCGTCCCCCTCGAACTCTGACCATGCTCCAAGCGACCTTCTTCAACGGCTCGGCCATCATCCTCGTCTGTGCCGCCGGCATTCTAGGCTGGTACATCAGCCAGCGGTCATCACTTTCCTCAGACAACAACAACAATAACAACAACAAGCACAAAGACAGCACCGACGACCTGAAAATGGACACTTTAGGCCAAGTCTTCGGCTATCTCTGCGCAGTGCTATACCTCGGCTCCCGTCTGCCCCAGATCCTCCTCAACTACCGCCGCAAGTCAACAGACGGGGTATCCTTACTCTTCTTCCTCTTCGCCTGTATCGGTAATCTGACCTACGTACTTTCTATACTGGCGTATTCACCTGTGTGTCAACGCCGACACCATGGTCGGTGTCGATCTGATGAACTGGCGTCGCTGTATGGTCGGTATATTCTGGTCAATCTGTCTTGGTTGATTGGAAGCTTTGGTACATTGTTGTTGGACATGTGTATTTTTATCCAGTTCTTCTTGTATCAGGATGCAAATGGGGGTGAGGTGGATGCAGAGGCGAGATGAAACATACTTGCGTTTGCTTATAAGATTCTCTTCTTTTGCTTCTCTTTTTCTTGACTATGTCTCTGGGAAGACATAAAGAAAGATGGATTGGTGTTGGTGTTGGTGGTTGGGGATGATTGATTGATTGATTAATTTATCATAAAAGCGCTTGCTTGCTTGCTTGCTTGCTTGCTTGCTTGCTATATGGCCAGGTTGCTACGCTATGCTATGCTATGCTATGCTATGCTATGCTACTCTTGCTACTGTTGCTCATTAATTGGCGTTTGACTGGGTTGGGGGTTCTTCGTGTATATAGTAGTATTATCTCATACTATACTTGCTTCTACTGATGCATACGTCGCAGTAGTCTACGTATCTGGTTCATCAGCTAAGTACTGATACCACAGTCTTAAATCTCAAACAGATTACCATTACACAAGCAGAGCAGAACTAAGCGAAGTAGCTAAGCAACTAGCAAGACAAAAAGAGAAGAGGAGAAATCAAACTACCAAACCATAAACACCACCCACATGCACCCACAACATGGATAGTAAGTAAGTAGACCATGAATATAAACTCCACGCTTGCAATTCGCATTTCCCCTTCTTCTCCTCCTCCCTTCTTCCATCTTCCTTCACCCATTCTATCCCTCCCAGTAGAGAAGGATTAGAAGAAAGAAGCCTACTTACTCACTAGGCGGCCTAACCTTAACCGGCCCCTGACCGACCTCATCCCAATTCGTACTCAACGAAGTCCCCTGACTCTCCACATAACTCTTCACCATAGCGCGACGAGTATCCGGGTCCGCATTAGCGTAGAGTTTCTTGAAGAACCCATCGACGGCATCGCCGCCTCCGAAGTCCGAGTTGATGGATTCGGCGTCGGATGCTTCATCATCTTCTCCTTCTCCTTCTCCTTTTCCTTCTGCCTTAGTCGCGTCTTTATACTTGGGTTTGTCCTTCTTCGACTTCTGGGTTAGGCTTGAAGCAAGCTTATCCCAGTCTTTGGCGCCGTGGCGGGAGGAGGTAGGGTATGATGGGCCTTGCGCTTGTGGTTTGACTTGTGTGGTGGTGGGTGTAAATGTAGTTGTAACAGGCTGGGGAGTAACTCCGATGGATGATTCCAAGGCGCTCCATTTCTGGCCGGGAGATTTCTTGCGCAGGGAGATTTCGATCTTGGTGGAGAAGACGGAGACCTTCGAGGTGGAGGGGTCGATGGGGGCGAAGAGCGGGTCGAGGGTGAAGTCGTATTCGGCGCCGGAGGGGAGGGGGAATTGGAGAGATGTCTATGAATTTAAAATTAGTATGTTTGTATGATATAGATCCGAGGTGATGGGGGGAGGGGGGGGGGGGGGGGGGGGGTTTGGAAGGTACATACCGAGTCCTCTTTCAGCTCAATAGCCACTTTATCCTTAGGCACGCCTTTCACATATAACGTCACGACAACCGTCTCTCCGGACTGGTACCATTCATGCCGGACCTTGACTTGCTGCTGCTGCTGCTGCTGCTGCTGAGTTTCTTTAACCTCAGATTTCTCCTCCACCTCCTCCTTCTCAGCAGCCGTATTATCCTCAACCTTCTGACCCTCATCACCACTAACACCCCCAATCGTACTCTTACTCCTACCCCCCCTCAACTCCTCCAACTGCGCCCTCAACTCCTTCTCCCCCGGCACCTTCACCCCCACCGGAACCTCCTCTACCTTCTCCCCATCCCCATCCTCATTCCCATTCAAACCCTGAACCTTCGCCCTAATCTTCGCCCCCCAAATCCTCACCTCCGCCTCGACACCCTTCCCAGCACCACCCGATGCACCCCCCATCGCCCTCCTCACCTTCTCCTCCTTATTTTCCCCATCCCCATCTTTATCCAACCCTACCATCCGCTCCACAACCCCCACCACCCCCTCAGCAGCAACATATCTCCCCATGAGAAACAAGACAATAGCTCTGCGCATCTGCGCCTCAACGATCAACTCGCGTTTGCCCCGCTCGCGAGCAAGCAGAACAGCGGACTCGGCATCGCGGAGCGCGGCGGGGAGGTTCGGCGTTGGCTTTAGGCGTGAGAAGGCGGTGGAGCGCTTGATGAAGTAGCTGGGCGATCGGGGGTGCGTGAGCAGCGCGGTGGTGTAGTGCAGGGTTGCGGTGGTGGGGTCGGAGGATTGGAGCGCGGTGTCGCCGAGAGAGGCGGCGTTCATTTTGGATTTGGGGTGTATGTTGGTGTTGTGTTGTGTTGTGTTTGTTGGGTGGGTAGGTAGGTAGGTGGTATGTGGTTATGTAGGAGCTGGGTGTGAGATGGGAAAGGTGAGGTTTTGTTGTTTATAAGGAAATAATCCAAAGAAAATAAGGAATTAGTGAAAGTGAAGTGCAGGTGAGAGTGAATGGAATCGAAACAAGTTCGATGATCTTCTTTGGAGATGCGGGGAGCGGAGCCATCCACGTGATTGGCTACACATATACTTCCTATATACTATAACTGTCCAGATCAACTATAAACATCATAACTAGTATACTTGAATCATATTATCAATTAGTAGAAAGTAGTAGTAGTAGCTAGTAATACATATACTCATGGAAAAGTTTTGCTGCAATCAGACCAACTCCTCATTGCCAAACTTGCGCGCATACAATCCCAACGCCCGGATCGGCCAGTACAGCTTATAGTTGGGATACGAAATCATGCTGTCACTCGTTAGTACTTAAGCTATCTCTCAAGTTACGATCAGGTCTACTCACCAAGACTGGTTAAACACTCCCTCAATCGACTCCTGCAACCACTCTCCGTTGGCCTGCTGCCGCGACATCAGCAGCTGCATTGCCTTCCGCAGCGGCTCCTTATGCGGATACCCGGCCTCCATCAGCGCCAGACTGGCCCACGCCGTCTGCACGACCTGCGACTTCTCGTGCTGCACATAGACGTGCTTCTCGCTGCTGAGGTATGACTCGCCCCAGCCGCCGTCCTCCTTCTGCTTCGAGATGAGGAACTCGCATCCGCGTCGGGAGTCCGCGCTCGTCTCGTACGTCTCTCCGATGCTGGCCAGACTCTCCAGTGCAAACATCGCCGCGTACGTGAAGCAGATGCCCCACGAGCCGTACCAGCTGCCGTCGGCGCGCTGCACCCGCTTGATGTACCGCACGGCCTTTTCCTTGGCGGTCTTGATCTCCGCGGCCCGGTAATTCGGATAGTACTTGCTGAAGAGGGAGAGCGCGGTGACGGATGCGGTCGTGCACTCGGGATAGTCGTATCCGATCATGATTCCGCCGAATACCTCGGCTGCGTTGAGCCACTCGACCTTCTCGGATGCCCGTGTGGTTTCGTACTCGGTGAACCCACCAGTAGGGTTCTGCATCAGGAGCAGACAGTCGACGCTGTCCTTCAACCGCTCCTCCGAGATCAGCTTTGGGAAGTTGTGCATCTCCTGCAGCTGGATCGTCGAGCGCAGTCCCTCGGCAGTGCAGTCACTAACTGTGTATCCCTGCGTCTTGTTGCTGAATGGCCATGCGCCCTTGCGGTGCTGGCGGTAGCATTTCTCCTGGTCCGGCACGTTCTCGCGCAGCTGATGGTCTTCCAGGAACTCCAGGGCTTTGGTGAGCATGGGCCGCCATTTCGGGTCATCGCCAAAGCCAGCCACCACGATACTCTGCGTGATAAAGGCTGTATCCCACACCTGGACGCCGTTGGTGCCGTTCATCAGCATGCCCTCGTCCTTCATCCACATGTAGTCGTGCAGCCGTTCGCGGTGGCGACGGACCGAGTAGCTGTCCGGACCGTCATGCTCGTAGCACACAATCATGTTGAAGGGATTGCTCACGGGCCCCAGACCGGCGTAGTCAGTATTCTCATCCTCCATGCGCACCAACTCCCACGTCCACTCCTCCGCGCGACGTACAATGGCAGGAAGACGAAGGTAGGGGTTCCAGATGTTGACGAGCAGAGAGTTCAAGGTATTCAGCAGCCACGTCTTGGGGTAGTAATTGTCCGCCTGGTGGATTGAGTTGCGATGCGCCGCAAAGTCAATCGAGTCATACGGCTGGGTATACAGCTCCTGCCGCAGCTGCTTGGTGAGAGGGTCCAACGGGTGCGAGAACCTCTTCGACCACAAATACGACATGGGCAAGAAGACCTGACGAATATGAATCCACCAGCGCCACGGCGCAAACGGCACCCAGTCAGGAAGTAGCCTGCTAGAATCAGCAACCCATCCACAAATCACCCCACCCACTAGAAACGACAGAAAGAAAAACTCACCAAATCTCCGGCGGCACCGGATTGACGCACTCCCAATCCATAACCCCCAAAACAGCCAGCGAGAACTTAGCCCAATGAGGCCCATAAATAGCACCCCCAAACCGATGCAACAACCCCCTAGCCTTCACCATCCTCGGGTCCTCCTCACTCACACCCACCAACCTCAACGTAACATAATTCATACAAGTACCAAACACAGAACTATGAGCTTCAATATGCAACCCCCAGCCACCATCCTCCGGATGCTGCCTAGCAAACAAATAGCGCTTGATCTCGGTAGCATACTCCGGCGGAATAGGCGTGTTGGTAACATAATACGTGATAATCAAGACAGGCAACAAGAACATGGGCCCACCATACTCGCACGCCCAGTTCCCCGGCTCCAGCTGCAACTTGGAGAAGAACTCCAGCCCGTTCTCGGCGCATTGCAGGGGCGTTTGGGGTTTGGGGAGCTCGGGAAGTCCCGTGGGCAGACCCAGGAAATACTTATCTGCGATGGTTTGAGGCCATTGCTCGTTTTCTGCGTCGGATTCCAGGTAGTGCCAGGTTTGGCGGCCGCGGTCGTCGCGGAGACGCCAGCGCGTGTAGTCGGTTTTGAGATCGCCGTTGGCGTCGGGAGTGAGATGGCCTTGGGCGGGAGTTCTCCACGGGCCGATGTGAGGTCCCGACATTGTGATGGGGTTGTTGTACACTTTAATCTTATTATTATAATATGGGGGGATAGAAAGGGTTGGAAGAATGGCAAAGTTGGGATTGGTGGAGAGGGATAGTGAGAGAGGGTGGTTTATAGGATACAACCACACTCAAGAGGAGAAAGGAAGAACAGCACACTAAATCTCCCTTGCCCGAATGTTATTTGCTGCCTGTTGTTCGTGCAGTATTAGTTGTGCAGCTGAGTGTTTTGTTGGTGCAGGAAATGAGGGAACATTGTCTGCTGAGTCATCAGGGGTGCCTGGCTGGCGATCAGCATTAATAGGCAGGAATAGGCAGGAATACGGTGTTTAATACGATTTAAGCCCTGCGGCATGCAGGAACGCATGAAATAACGGTCAACTCGACAGAAACATCGTAACTCTAAATCGGAGGCTATATGACCTGTTACATTAAATATTACTATCTAGTGCCTCTGCACCCCATCAATCCCAGAACATAAAGCACACACACTATCGAGAGGTATCAAGTACGCAAAACGACATGGAATCATTCTACCGATTCCCCCGGGTATCAATCCAACCTGTCCCATCCATTACCGTAAATTTATCTGATCCTGGCCTCATCCCGACCAGGCGTGAATTACGCCTCTGGCTTGCTTCTATTTGGCTTCCGCGGCGGGTGCCTCCTGGGCCGTCACTGCAGTCTCTGCCTTGGTCGGCTCCTCAGCCGCCGGCTGCTCTGTCTTGGCTTCCTCCTTCACCTCTTCCTTGGGAGCCTCAGCCGGTTCTGCCTTGGCCTCTTCCTTAGGGGCCTCGGTCTGCTCCTTCTTAGCCTCCTCCTTGGGGGCTTCCGGAGCAGGCTGGGCCGTCTCGAGGTTGACCGTGAACGCATCCTCCTCGAGGGTCGCGCCGTTACCACCGTAGGTCTTGGGGAACTTGTCCTTCAGGGAAGGGAACTCGCGGGCCAGGTTGGCACCGTTGGAGATGGGGTGGAACTTGCGGGTGGTGTTCTTGCTGAGGAAGACCTTCATGGCGGCGAACATCCAGCCCATGATGGCAGGCACGTTGACGAAGAACTTCTCCCGCAGCAGCTCGGGGTAGGCCATGGAGAACACCTCAATGGTCTTCTTGCTGGCCGCCTTGATGGTGGGGTTCAGGCGGAGGAAGCTGACGTTCTGGTAGTCGTGGACCTGCAGCATCTGGTACGGGTCCTCGCCGTCGTAGTCGATCACGGCCGTCGCCTCGCTCAGCTTCAGGTCCTTGACAGCGAGTTCCATGAGTGCGACACGCCACTTGATGAATCTAGTGACAGTTAGATATAACCCCCATCACTCACGAAATAGTAGCAACAGCAGCTGCACTTACCCATCCACATCGCCAAAGGTCTGATCAATAGACTTGACATTACCATAGACGTTCCAAGTGACAATGACCTCCTTGCCATTGGCCTCCGGGTACTTGGTGACATAGCCCAGACCACCATAGCGCTCAGCACTGTAGCGGCCCTCGGTCAGGGCGAGGGGGTTCATCTCCTTGCGCCATTGCAGGGCCTTGGTGAGCTGCTCCTCGGCCAGCTTGACGTTACCCTCGTTGGCGCGCAGGAACTTGATGAGGATGTTGACGGTGGGGACATCCGAAGAGTCCTTGAGGGTGACACCCCACATCTCATTGTAGCCAGTGGAGGAGAGAATGGCCGACAGACGATCAAAGAACTGGCTGAGGGCCGGGTTCTTGGCCAGATACTCGGGCTGAGCGGGCTTTTGTTCCTCCTCCTTTGCTTCTTCGGCCTTTGGCTCAGCCTTGGGCTCATCCGCCTTTTGCTCCTCCTTGGGTTCCTCAGTCTTGGTCTCCTTGGTCTCTTCCTTGGGTGCTTCTTCCTTCTTATCTTCGGGGGCCTCCTGGGCGGGAGCGGGAGCGGGTTCCGTCACGGGAGGTTCCGTGGCAGCGGCAGCGGGGGCAGGAGAAGCCGCTTCTTCTCCTGTCGTCGCAGGCTCGACTTTTTGTTCGACTTCGGGCTGAGGCTGGGACTCGGAAACCGCAGGCTCAGTAGTAGTGGTGGTGGTGGTGGTGGGAGGTTGCGCCTCGGGGGCAGCAGGAATGGCGGCGGCGGCGGTCTTTTCGGGTTGATCGGCCATGATGTATGTAGCGGGATATTATTATTGGTAGTAGTTGATTAGTGAAGATAGAATAGAGAGAGGGGGAGGAAATGAAATTAGAAGAATGTATGGGAATTGCGTGATGCGATCGGATGCGAAAGTGGGATGGGCTTTCCCAATGACAGCCGTGAAATTAGCACAGTAGTAGAGGGGAGAAAGAAAGAAAGAAAGAAGGAGAGGAGAAAACACGAGAGAGAAGACAAGACAGAAAGCGCAAAAGAAACGAAGCGAAGCGACAGAAGCAGGCAAAGACGAGAAGCTAAGGAAGCACAGAAAAAGGCGTGCAATCCAATCAGAGGCAGCAGTGGATTAA